CAACAACATTAACAAAAACACAACAACATTAACGAAAACACAACGGAAGAGGTAGGTCCCAGTGGGAGACCTAAGAAGTCGCTGATTGGACGACAGGTCGTTTCTCTTTTGAACCGGAAGTTATTCTGGCTTTAACTTGATTGCTAAAAACATGAATGTTCTCAGTGATCCAAACCTCAGTACCGTTATTCGGGAATATTTTGAGTCAGGATATACATACGAGGTGATACTGGACATGCTCCAGACCAACCACGAAGTGTCGGTTAGCCTGCGTTCTTTAAAGGCTCATTTGAAAGTAGCAGGGCTGCATAGACGAGGCAACTACTCTCCACTTTCTGACGTGAGACGTGCCATTATGACCGAGCTTAGAGGACCAGGCCAATTATTTGGCTATCGGACCATGTGGCAGGTTCTCAAACAAAAAACAACCTGCGTGTCAAACGTGATGTTGTAATGAGACTGCTGAGGCAGCTGAATCCTCAGGGCATCGCTCTGAGGACTCGCAGGAAGTTTACCAGACGCACGTACCACTCTATGGGGCCCAATTACATATGGCATGTAGATGGCTACGACAAACTGAAGCCATTCGGCTTGGCCATCTCAGGATGCATTGATGGGTTTTCTAGAAGAATGATGTGGCTTGTTTGTGGGGCAACAAACAATCCCTCTGTCATTGCCCAGCATTACATAAACTGTGTCAAGAGTCTTGGCGTAATACCAATGAGACTGCGAACAGACCTAGGCACAGAGAACGGGACTATGGCAGCAGTACAATGTACCCTCCGGCATGCGCATACGGATTATTATGCTGGATCATCAAGCCACAGTTACGGATCATCCACAGGGAATCAACGCATCGAGTCATGGTGGTCTTCTTTCAGGAGAGGAAGGTGGGTACATCTGTGTTTTTCAGATGTGAAGTACAGCGAAAGCTGATCACAGTGTAAAGTCCATGTAAGCATAAAGTCTGAGTTTAAACGGATTTATAAAGTACGTCCAAACTCTTTGTGTGAAAAACAAGGTTCTGGTGATTATAGCAACATACACGTAAGTCAGATGTCAGTGAAGCAAATTTTTCTAGTTAGGCAGGTTTAAGCTTGTGATTTGTTTATTGTTGTCATGACAACTTCATAGGAAGTGCCTATGGAGTTGACAGTCACATGGCTATCGTGTTGCCAGGTAATAAGTGAATTTGTTTCAAACATTTATTTTCATAAGGCTTTTGCAATTTTTTTGTCCAAGTTATAATTTTTCATTGTTTGGTATCAGATGTTATACAAGTTTTAGTTTGCACGTGGAAAAGTAGGGCGCGATATTCAGTGTGACATACATTTATAGCATGCTTTCAATGTTATGGACATGGAGAAGGACAATTTGTTTTTATCATTTTAATATGAAAAAGAACAGAACCGTTTCTAATTCAATTTATCCTCAGGTCTCAGTTTTGGATGGACTTGTTCGGAGATTTAAGAGACTCTGGAAACTTCAACGGAAGCCATGAGCACCAGTGCTTGCTCAGATTCTGCTTCACCAGAGTTCTGCAGAAAGACCTGGATGAATGCAAAGGTCTCTGGAATAACCACAGGATCCGGCCAAGCAGACTTGCATCATGTCCTGGGGGGATTCCTAACGAACTCTATCTCTTGCCTCACAGGTAATTGACATCTTCACAAATAGAAATAATGCTTGACATTACATAACAATGCAGAAGTGTTGTTAGGACACTTATTATCTATGTACAAGTAACCTATAGCTATTAATGTACACAAAAGTAAGTACACCCTTCACATTTCCGCAGCTATTAAAGTATATTTTGTCATGGGATAACACCAACAATTCACTTTGACACAATGAAAAGTAGTGTGAGTACAGCTTATATGTGAAGGGTGTATTTGCTTTTGTGATACACTGTATAAGCTGTCACTGATAGTGCTCACTATAGCCAGCAAAAAAAAAGACGATTCCAAGTATTTGTACTAAATAGAGAAAACAGCTGTCACAATTCTATTATTAATTATATTCTGACTTTGCAGATATGGATCAAGAGATTGTGGATTTCCTGTTGAGGACAGCGATCTGGATGTTTTCCCAGAAGCAAGTCAGGTGACAGAGTTGTGTGGGGATAAAGACATCGAGGAATACCTACAGGAAGCCATGCAACAACATGGACAACAGCAGTCACAAGACTGGGAGTCAGCAATGGAATTGTATTTATTGCTCAAAAACATTGCGAGGCTGTGAACACAAACAAGCAACATCAAATCTTATATTTTGTCTCCTGTTCATTTTGTTGATATAAAGTGAAAACTTCATTGTTATTCGGAATTAAACTTTTTTTAATACACAAAATTGTGCATTTAGTTTGAACTATGAAGATAAAATCTGACATTACACTCTTAATTAACAGTTTTGAGTATTTGTTTTAACTTGCTAAAAGTTGCGAGAAAGAACATAACAAGAAAAGGTTTTGCAAAACAAACTATTTTTTGGAAACACATTTAACCAAGAAACCATGTTTTTGAATTTTAGTAACATCCAAATCCCGGAGCATTTTGTATTCCAAAGTCCATGTTAGCTCTAAAATCAGCGTAAGATTCCAAAAGTGGCAGTTTAAGTGTGTTTGCACAGGTGTTTGCAATAGGAAAGGGTGAATCACTCAAAAACTCAAGATGTGGGGATGGCATCATGCCTGCTGGTGGAATCGTTGTGAGACCTGTTGCAAACATCAGGACTTCCTCTAGAGATACAGCAGTTGTTTTCTCTGAAAGATGATAAACAATGTAGTTAATAGATAATGCCTTGTACAAATTATTTCTTTTTATTTTTGTTTTCCAATAAAACAAACAATTTTAGAATAACACAATTTGTTCTTACTAATCTTCGCAATCAAGCAAATAATCTGCCCAGAAGACAATTGTTTTGCCCTCCTTTTGCCGCCTGTTGCTTCCTACAGGGCTGAGATCTGGTTGGAACATGGTCTCCAAGTCTGAAGCAGTCAGAGCCTTGGCAGAGAAACATAGGACTGGGGGACAGGACACTGGAATGCTGCTGCAGTGCAGCAAAAAACCAAGACTTGCCAGTCCATCTTTGAATCTGTTAACGATAAGCAATGTACTGTATTGATAGAGTATATATAAAGTCAAAAAGATAAACAAAAATAAAAAGTAAAGCTAATTTTCCACAGTGCTCAAAAGTTATCATTAAAAGTAAAATATAAAATTGAAACTTAAAAAAATGTTTTCATTGTGCAAAAAACGAAATTGTCATGCAACAGTATATTTTTATAAGTCACATTGAAATATTTTTCATGTGCCATGCCTATGATTAATCTGTGTAATGGTGAACAACGATTCAAAACCTGTTGCACATAAAATTCCGAATGGATGATAGAAGTGGTGAAACTCAGAATTTGGCAAGTATTGCTCTGTATATTCTAATATTTCACACAATTTTTCAGAAAAACACAAAAAGATGTGTTACCTACGACAGATTAAAAACAAAAACAATTAAGGAAGGAAGCTGGTTAATTTGATGTCTGATCTACTAATGTCATATCTCTAATCTGATCCCAATTTTTTATACCTAATTAGTTTTTCTTAGTTAATTAGTGTCATGATGTCAGTGGCAGTTGTTCACAGTATTTACATTGAGCATTGATACTCTAGATCAACACTCAATGATCTTGAGTACTGAGCATAGAACTTCAGAATAGTTTTTAATTATTTATAACTATTTATTGATTACCGTTGAATGGCACTGTGGTTTCTGTCAAGGATGTACCATCTGAGATACTCCTCTACAAAAGCTTTCTTCTCAGAAGCCTTCACCCCTCTGAAGCATCCAGCAGTTTGGAACATCCCACTATTTTGCAAAATTACATTTAGCAGAGATTCATCTGAATCAGCTTCCAGGACCTACAAAACAAGCAGTATTCCAGAAGAAGTACAGAACTATAAATTTAAAAACATCTTTGTTATGAATAAAAACATAGCATTAACATTTTGTGTGTTGTAATGTAACATCTGTTGAGACAGGCTGAAATCGGGCCTTTCACAGCAAAAACATTTGTCAAGCTTTGATAAAACAAACTTGGTACTTTGTCATAATCATTTCGTAAACTCAATCTGAAATTAATAATAAATAAAATGAAAATAATCTCCAGTTTGGCATACAATAAATCTATTCCCTATGCCTAGGTAATTTCCTACCTGTTTCAGAACTTTCCCTATCTCCTCATCTTTAACATCTTCAACAGTGGCGCTGAAACTTGGATTCCCTATCATGTAGTTGACCAGGTTCTTTGAGAGAAAATGTGGTGCTGGTCCCCCATGTACAATACATACGGCAATCATCTTTCCTGCTAAAAAATACTCATCTTCCCTGGCAGCTGTTGTACAGAGCACAGAATTACTGTGGGTAATTAAATCTTAGATCTGCTTATGACAAAAACATAAGCTGATTTTTCAGCAAATTTTGATTTTAGAAGTACTACCACTTCACAAACCCAAAAAAATGTCTCACCTCTCGAATTGCACACAATGTAACGACTTTCTGGGGTCCATCAAAGATCGGGCGATTTCTCAGAATGGCCATGAGAAGCGTGAGAAACTCACGCCTCGGGCCACCTGTGTCCAACCCTTCCTCCAACCAGCCAGCATCATCGTTAAATTTGATGAACATGTCATTCTTGTCGGAGTATGTGCTCCTCTGAAAGCCCCGAACAGCTCCATCCCACACATCAGTCCGACATATATTGAACCGGCTGACTTTCTTGTGGTCAATACCCATGGCCAGTTCTGCAATAATATCATGTGGCTGCACATTTGTTTCTCTAGAAAAAAAAATATTTTAAAGCAGTTGACTGATCACACTTAGCATTATGTAATTATGCATGAGCAGGATGCTGGTTAATTTAATACAAAATATTAAAATTACTAACGCATGTTCTTCTGGGGGCAGGTCTTGCTTTTTGTCTTCGGTTAAATATTCAATCCCATCATCATCATCATCATCATCATCATCAATAACAATGGGCTCAAAGAGATTGGTGTAGTCTCTGTGGAGCAAAAACGTGCACACAATATAGATGGAGGGGGGGGAACTTCCAACTGTCCTTCACAAAACATTCCATTTATGTCAGAAGTTATATTTACAACATTCGAAGTAAATAAATGCACTTTAGATGACACAATAGATCTATCAGTATCACCTTGTCATGATGACACAACACACACCCTTCTTCTTTATGACAGAAGCCATTACACACCTGTAACAGGAGCTCTGGACAGGGACACATTCACTGGTGCTTGGATTGTTGCTGTTGTCATCCAAATCCATAACCTGAAAACAGAGAAAAGAGTAAAATGAAACTTAATAATTGACTATTCTACAGTTATTTTTAATTATCAAAATATTTTACTAAAAGGTTTGAGATAAAAATCTGTGGATTGTGGTGTGACATAATAAAAAGTTGTACCTGTTTTACTTCATTTGCAAGTGCAAGATCCCCAACACCATTACTTAAAGGACAATGAAAAAACATATTAATGGGTAATTTGAACATATGAAGTCATATGAAGAAAGCAAGGGTGGTCTAATAATTATTTCCAATCCAGTATATTCAACATTTAAAAACAAGCATCTTGAAAAAAAAAAAAAAACTTCATTGGACATGTTCCCATAACCACATAATTTACAAATATCCACATTCAACATGTCACCAATCCATACTATATGAAATGCAATGAAGGTTATAATACTATTGATACATGTACACACATCATGCTATGATATGTCCCTAAAATATAACTTACTGTGTTTTCTGCCACCTGTTGTAAACGACTGCTCTCATCCATAGGTTCCCATGGCTGAAGAAAATGAAACACAATTTAACATCTTCATAGTCCAATGAAGCTTAGGTAAAATGCGCTTGTTGTGATCACTCAACCAAATAAAAATGACAGACCAAATACATTTGAAGTTGGACTTACCAGTGTATCAGCAAGATCAAAGTCAGAGGATTTTCTAATAACAATCTCTGGGTCAGAATCGGACAAGTCTGACAATTTTCCAACTGCAAAACAAGGGGAAAAAAACAAAACAACTTAACTTCTACTAAGTGATAGTACTGTATTCGGTCAACTATATTACATTGTATCAGAAAGGACAAACATAGCACTGGTAAAAACAAAAAACTGAATGTACCTATCAAGTGTCCAGAAAGTAACTTCACATGTCAGAGCCAATCTATGTACACCTATTACTTTATTGATTCATGCCACTAATGCTTAATTGCACAGCTTTAAGATTTAGATTTATTGCAGTTATTGCAATGTGCCAATGTAAGCGCAGACATCTGAGCTTACCTTCTTCAAAGTCTCTTTTCAAGCAGAGGAAAAGACATATCCTTTGATATGTCTTGCCAACTTCAGCCTTGTAAGCTGCAAGGGTAAAAGGTGTTTGTGTCCCAGGGATATTAATAACCTCTGTCCCATCTGGGTACAGAAGGAGGAAAGGTCCATCTTTGACATCTTTGTTGAAGTCCTTCATTTTTTAATAGCAAGACTGAGGAGAGGTGTGGCAGAGACTTCTGGGTTTGTTGCAACCGAAATGGTTTTTCCACGCCGTGGCTTTAGACAATTGTTCAGAATGGTCATCAATCCAATATTTATCTGAAACAAAAAATTATGTGGAAGATTGAGCAATGTTTTTTTTTTTTTTTAAAGAATAGTAAAAAAAATGTGTTGTTTTTAATTCCTCCTGGCTTATATTACAATAACATGCAAACAGATCCATTAGCTATTCATATCAGTCATTTTCAAGCTTTTACTTTTGAACTACAGATTTGGATACAAACAGAACAATGCTTTGACAACTATTACTCAGTAATTAATCAATAGATGATTTACTGTTTTGACTGATCATGAATTGACAGTTTGCTGTTACTGTTAAACAATTATTCTGTATAGCTGTGCTATGCAGAACTTTCTTTAAGCAAGTCCATTAGTTAAAAGCTGCTTGTTTTGGTTGGAGCCATACCGGACCTACCCTAACTTTCTTTTTGTCCTTTGTTTTAACCCCTTTTTCCCAAGAGAATATTTTTGTCGCTCCTCATTTTTCTTTTTTCTGTATTCAAGGAAGGTGCTGAGGGCTGGTGTAGGGCAGGATGAGATAGTCTGTTGTGCTAGAAGTAAAGCAAAGAAAAAATGTCGCACATCACATTCATGCAAACAGACGATATGTATTACGAACTGAAGTAAAGCTACCACAAGTATAAATTAAGTGCGAGTTCGCTTCCAAAAAGGCGGCTAGCCTGATCGCAGTGCAGCAGAACCAGAACGACACCAATTATCCTAAAAAAAAGTAGTGCCTAAGGCTGTGACGGACCTTACGATATATAGCTAATACAATTCTGCTGTATTATAGCGACTTTGTGTACTTTTAATTGCATTTATAATGAACAACTAAATGACAGTGGACACGGTCTGGAGACCACTAGCGTTAGCAAGTTACTACATCCATAAGAAATATGAATCTTCCTTTATGCTTTTTAACTTACTTGAACATTGTGGAGTATCCGCCATAAAAGTTTCTTCAAGCCTTTTGCCACAATTACTGCAGAAATTTGGTGACGGCTCAACCACCTCCTTTCCACAGTTCGGGCAATACATGACGAATTGACTGTATTCCCGCTTCCTTGGGTTCTCATTCAAAAGAAGCACTCAAGCATAACTTCCGGTTCAAAAGAGAAACGACCTGTCGTCCAATGTTGTTGTATTTTCGTTAATGTTGTTGTGTTTTCGTTAATGTTGTTGTGTTTCTGTTAATGTTGTTGTGTTTTTGTTAATGTTGTTGTGTTTTTGTTAATGTTGTTGTGTTTTTGTTAATGTTGTTGTGTTTTTGTTAATGTTGTTGTGTTTTTGTTAATGTTGTTGTGTTTTTGTTAATGTTGTTGTGTTTTCGTTAATGTTGTTGTGTTTCAAGCACCTCAGGGCCACCGTACAATGTTGAGAACATAACATAACGCTGGTTTAAAAACATTGTTTTCTTGTAGAATTTCTAAATGTAAAAGAGTGTTTTTAGGAATTGAAGGGATAAGAATTCACAGTTCTTGTAATTTTGGCAATTTTATCTAATAGTTCCTGATAGTATTCCAGCAGTGAAATTGCTGTATTTTCATCTTTATCAAAGTATGTTTAGAAATTCAACAGAAAGTTTATTTTGATGGTTGGATGATGAAATGAAGTAAACACAACAATAAATAAAATACAACAAAATTCAGAGTGTTTGTAACATCTGCCAACCTTGGTTTTCTGTTTTATGGCCTGTTTTATTGTTTTGGTGGTGCCAAAAATGTTTTTAGGTAAACTTAAACATTAAGTAATTGTCTTGCAAGGTTTTTTTTTTTTTTTTGGATACATGTTTGGATTTCCTGTGAATGTTCACAATAAATGTTTACACAAATATGCAGTTTGTTTCCAATGCTTCATGTAAATTAAGAACTGTATTTTCTGGACTTTTAGTAATTACATTTATCCACAGCTGTGTGTTGTGCATGTTGACTTTTGCACTTAGCAAACATAAATCAGCACTTAGATGGATTAATGTTGTAATAGGAACATTTAGTTTTCTGCTTCTATTTTAATACTTTAGAAAGAAAAAAAAAAAGTCAGATTATTTATCAAGTTTAACAGTTAGAATGCATGTTAATGTCTCATAATCGAAAACAAGCAGCTCCGTTTTGAGACATGTGGAACCCTATCATGGCAGGCTCTTTCCAGTCAATACTCACAGTAATACTCTAATGGCATCTCTCAGTAACATGTACAGTTTCACAGAATCATATGGATCTGATGGTGTCATTAGACCATATTCTGCCATTAAAACATTGCAAATGTCATACACAGCAGAATCACATGGTATGGTCTGCCGAAAAGTGCATGCATCTCTACACAGTTGAATCTGTTCAACTTCAACAGGAGTGAGGAAGTCTGTAGTACTGCACAGTTCAGGTAGGGCATACATCACATTGGGCCGACCGCTGGGAACGTGCAAGTTTTTAGATGGCCTGATGTGGTGTGTATTCCATACTTGTGCTGTGTCATCCAGCTCATCCTGTAACAAAACAGAAAAATTGAGTAAATTCTTGTTAACCTCAGCTATAAAAAGGATTAGGCATAGTCACTGTTTCATGTCATAATTGCAAAATAATGTTTATTTAGGTTGTACTGACTATTTGTCCAAAACTCAAATTCAAAAGTAACAAAACGTAAGACTAAAAGATGATCAATTGTGAAGGTGAATTCAACTCAAATAGTCACCTTTTGGATTCTACAAAAGGTCAAAATGCAGTTCTTTGTTTTATTCCACTATTCAGACAAAACAGGATTCCACTACTTCTTTCAGTCTGATTCCTACACCTGTTGTTTTTATAAACTGGCTGACCGATTGGATAGACTGACTGATGACTAACTGAATAGACTGGTAAAAAACCTTTTGGCCACCCACGTGCATAATGTGCTAGTTCAAATCTGTACTGCATAACACCCACGTCCCAAAATTAAATCAATTAACTTAAGTGAATTACTAACCAGCAAACTTATTCTAAATAAACTGAACAAAAATTTTACTTATAAATCAACTAGAAAATAAGGAAAAAATAAAAATTAACTAAATCTAAATTATAAGATTTAACTAAGAAAAGAGAAACAGCTCCTATAAAGTACTTTCAGACTTGCTGTTTAGAACTGTCATTCATACAATTACAGTTGTTACCGAGTTATAGAAATACATTGTGACATTTCTTGGATGAATTGATTTTAAAGATTACTTTGGTATCTTGTAACAGTTTGACTTTTGACACAGTTAGAAACTTAATGCATATTTAAACGCCTGCTATTGGGTTAAAATTCGTTCACTTTTGATTTGGTTTTAAAAAAATGATAGTCAATGAAATTGAATGTATCTTCATTATAATAGAGGTTTAAATGCAGCTGTCAAAATGATCCCTTGTTGCTGCTGTAGTGTAAAATCTCACACTATAACAGCAAGTGACCTGCTCTTTCGTGTTATGACTTTAAGGTAGAAAAAGTAACCAGTGCATTTTCAGCACCACAGGTGTGTGAACAGTGACCACGAAAGAACAACAACTAGAGAATCACTTTCTTTCATTATATTATAATTTACCACATAAAAACACAAAGACATATACTTCTCTTTGTAGAAACATATCACTTTCGTTTATGGGTGTGCCCCCGTCGTGCATTATTTCCATTTTTTAGTGTGATGAAAGTATGCACCTACGTCACAAAATTGAGCGTTCGCTTGACATTCAAGTTTTGTACGAACGAAATACTAGACAGTGAACGCCACAAATAACCAGATACCATTAATGTTGATTTTAATGTCCATGCCTTTCAGGCTTTCTTCCCTCCAAAGTATCTTATCCATCATATAAATATCCAATTTAATTCAGTTAACTCACCTGTATGAGTCCCATGCAGCAAAACTGTAGAATGCTTTTGTCCAGAAATCCCCCATCAAAGAATCCATTGTTTCTGATGTCAGCAAACAAGGACAACCAGAACTCCATACACTCCATCCGCAGAAAGCGCCACCAATATTCAATCCTTTGATTTGCAGTGCTTGCTCCTTCGAGGTAACTTTCAAGAGGGTCGTTGGGCTGAGTGGGAATGAGGAATCTCTGGAAGTCTCTGACATAAACATTTTCTGTACCAAGATCCCCTCTAACAACTCTCGGACACCCTCCCAAACGCTTTACTGTTTCAGTGTAATACCCTCCTATCAACTTGGGATCACTATTTGTGGTGTATGCATTGAGCCAGATAATCTTTCGTGAAAATCCATCAATGCTTCCATTAATACAAAAGCCAAATGGCTTCAGTTTATCATAAGAGTCAATGTGCCAAATAAAGTTCGGACCCTTTGAGAAGTAATTTCTTCTTTGAAGACGTCTGGCTTGTCTTGAGGACACTCCCGCTGGATCTAATTCTCTCATGATCAGACGGACATCCTCCTTCCTTACACAAAGACCATGTTGCCTGCATTTGGCATACATCCAACGATATCTGTGAAGCTGTCCAGAGGACTGAAGTTCTCTCCTGACGAATTCCACCAGACTTGCCAAGTTAGCAAAATAGTAGCGACGAGTGTGTCCTCGTGCACTAAGTATTCTTTTCAAATGTCGCATACTGATGTGACACCCATACTTTTTGGCAAGCAGAGACTGAATATCCTTATATTGTAGGCCAATTTCAAAATAAAAATCCACAAAACTCACACACGAGTGTATTGTCTGCTCCATTGTTGTCTTCGCTGCCTCAAACTTTTGCATTTTGCGAGGGGACACAAAAGTATTGCGAGGGAGGGCAAAAGTATTGCGAGGGGACGCAAAAGTATTGCGAGGGAACGCAAAAGTATTGCGAGGGAACGCAAAAGTATTGCGAGGGAACGCAAAAGTTTTGCGAGGCAACGCAAAAGTATTGCAAGGGAACGCAAAAGTCTTGCGAGGCAACGCAAAAGTATTGCGAGGGAACGCAAAAGTCTTGCGAGGCAACGCAAAAGTTTTGCGAGGCGACGCAAAAGTATTGCGAGGGGAAGCAAAAGTATTGCGAGGGAACGCAAAAGTATTGCGAGGGAGGGCAAAAGTATTGCGAGGGGACGCAAAAGTATTGCGAGGGAACGCAAAAGTATTGCGAGGGAACGCAAAAGTTTTGCGAGGCAACGCAAAAGTTTTGCGAGGCAACGCAAAAGTTTTGCGAGGCGACGCAAAAGTATTGCGAGGGGAAGCAAAAGTATTGCGAGGGGAAGCAAAAGTATTGCGAGGGGAAGCAAAAGTATTGCGAGGGAACGCAAAAGTCTTGCGAGGCAACGCAAAAGTTTTGCGAGGCGACGCAAAAGTATTGCGAGGGGAAGAAAAAGTATTGCGAGGGGAAGCAAAAGTATTGCGAGGGGAAGCAAAAGTATTGCGAGGGGACGCAAAAGTTTTGCGAGGGAACGCAAAAGTATTGCGAGGGAACGCAAAAGTATTGCGAGGGAACGCAAAAGTTTTGCGAGAGAACGCAAAAGTTTTGCGAGAGAACGCAAAAGAAAAAAAATCCCCATATCCCCTAGGGGGCTCCGTAGTTTTTTTCTCTGTATTGAGTTCACTTGTCCCTCGTTAATTTAAACTACCTTCATAGCTAGGAAATTCAATAGTCTTTAACTGATGAGATCATTTCTAAAACAAAAATACAATTATGTATGTACACAAGTTACCTCCAGAAAACTTTGGCTTTCTGCTTTTTTCATCATTTCTCACATTACCACAGTACTTCTCCCTTAATGCATTTAATCACTCAGATTAAAATGTACAAAACAGTAATGCATGTTTCTCCTTATTCCCTTTTTTCATTTTTTACACAAAACCAACCTTGGAAATATTTTGTAAATATTAAAAGGCCTTAAGTGCATTGGTTTTTAACCAGGGGCTATATATTTAAAAAAAAAAAAAATTCCTTCTCACCCACCGCGGGTGGTTCTTATCCTCTGAGCTCGGGTCCTCTACCAGAGGCCTGGGCTTGAGGGTCCTGCGCAGTATCTTGGCTGCCAAGGACTGCACATTTCTGGACTGAGATGTCTGATGTTGTTCCTGGGATCTGTTGTAGCCACTGCTCCAGTTTGGGGGTTACTGCCCGAGGGCCCCGATGACCACAGGCACCACTGTGGTCTTCACCTTCCAGGCCCTCTCAGTTCTTCCCTGGGCCCTGGTATTTCTCCAGTTTCTCGTGCTCCTTTTTCCTGATGTTGCAATCACTTGGTATTGCTACATCAACCACAACGGCTTTCCTCTGATGTTTATCCACTACGACAATGTCTGGTTGGTTCGCCATTACCATTTTGTCTGTCTGGATCTGGAAGTCCCACAGGATCTTAGCTCTGGCGTTCTCCACCACCTTTGGGGGTGTTTCCCACTTTGATCTCGGGGTTTCCAGTCCATATTCTGCACAGATGTTTCTGTACACTATGCCTGCCACTTGGTTATGTCGCTCCATGTACGCTTTTCCTGCCAGTATCTTGCACCCTGCTGTTATGTGCTGGACTGTCTCAGGGGCCTCCTTGCACAACCTACACCTTGGGTCTTGTCTGGTGTGGTAGATCTGGGCCTCTATTGCTCTGGTGTTTAGGGCCTGTTCCTGGGCGGCCAGGATGAGGGCCTCTGTGCTGTCCTTGAGTCCAGCTTTTTCCAGCCATTGGTAGGATTTACTGATATCAGCCACTTGGGTTATTTGCTGGTGGTACATCCCATGTAGGGGCTTGTCCTCCCATGATGGTATCTCTGGCACCTCAACCTCCGTTCCCTGTTGTCTGAGACATTCACTGAGCACATTGTCTGTTGAGGCTTTGTCCCTGATGTATTTATGGATCTTAGTTGTTTCGTCCTGGACAGTGGTTCTCACACTCACTAGTCCTCTGCCTCCGTCCTTGCGGCTCGTGTACAGTCTCAGGGTGCTGGATTTGGGATGGAACCCTCCATGCATGGTTAGTAGCTTTCTAGTCTTAATATCTGTGGCTTTTATCTCCTCCTTTGGCCAGCTGATTATTCCAGCAGGGTATCTGATTACTGGCAGGGCATAGCTGTTTATCGCACGGATTTTGTTCTTGCCATTGAGCTGGCTTCTCAGGACTTGCCTTATTCGTTGGAGGTATTTAGCTGTGGCTCCTTTCCTTGTGGTCTCATCGAGGTTGCCATTTGCTTGTGGTATACCTAGGTACTTGTAACTGTCCTCTATGTCTGCTATTGTTCCTTGTGGGAGTGAGACTCCTTCTGTGTGGATCACCTTCCCCCTCTTTGTGATCAGCCGACCACACTTCTCTAGTCCGAATGACATCCCAATGTCAGTGCTGTAGATCCTGGTGGTGTGGATCAGTGAGTCGATGTCTCGCTCACTCTTGGCATACAGCTTGATGTCATCCATGTAGAGGAGGTGACTGATGTTGGCCCCATTTTTGAGTATATATATAAAAAATAAAAATTCCCTTCTCACCCACCGCGGGTGGTTCTTATCCTCTGAGCTCGGGTCCTCTACCAGAGGCCTGGGAGCTTGAGGGTTCTGCGCAGTATCTTGGCTGTGCCAAGGACTGCACATTTCTGGACTGAGATGTCTGTTGTTCCTGGGATCTGTTGTAGCCACTGATCCAGTTTGGGGGTTACTGCCCCGAGGACCACAGGCACCACTGTGGTCTTCACCTTCCAGGCCCTCTCCAGTTCTTCCCTGAGGCCCTGGTATTTCTCCAGTTTCTCGTGCTCCTTTTTCCTGATGTTGCAATCACTTGGTATTGCTACATCTACCACAACAGCTTTCCTCTGTTGTTTATCCACTACCGATATATATATATATATATATTCCTAATAATGACCTTTTTCTATAAAAATACAGACTGATTTTTTTATAAGCCTTAATTTATCTTCACTGAGAATTTTCTGTTTCTCCTAATGTTAAGATTAGAAGACTAAGTCAGACCAATAAAAAACATTTTTGATAAATTTGTTCTCAATGTAAAGTATGTTGAAACCTACTTAATGATTGAGTTTCAAGAGCCACAACAAAGGCCAATTTTTTTAAATAACATGAATGTCAACCTGACTAAGCATGGGCAGCATTTTCATTTGACTACTTTCTGAGTTAAAATGTGTTTTTAGAGAAGTAATTGGCAAAAAAAAGAAAAACAAAGACTTCCTTGTCATCATTGGTTACAACTTCTCTGTCATGTTTGCTCTAAGGTTTCTAACCCACATGCAAGAACACAATCAGGTAGGCAGTTAAAGCACAATAATGATTTATTGAGACCGAGGAAAAAGGGAAAGGAGATGGGTTCTGGAGCGGGTAACCGGTTCGTCCGACTGTCAATGAGATGGTACAGGTTAGTGAGCGGGTAGGAGAGAGTCTCTCCGGATTTAACAGATTGGATCTTACTTGGAGGGGGTGAGTATGACTGCTGGCAGAGTACTGGAGAACTGAGCTGGTTGGAGGGCGGACAGGAAATCCTGGTCTCTTGGGGAGGCGTCCAAAGCGATCGAGTAGCAACGGAGGCTAGGAATTCCGGGGCAGACGGCTCACTCGGGAAATCAAGGAGACGGCGGGTTTACCTAACGTGAGAGACAGTGTTGTAGTACTCGAAAACGGTCTTGGTCTCGAGACCGGTCTTAAGACCATTTTTTGATAGTCTCGGTCTTGTCTCGGACTCGGACATTGAGGACTCGGTATTTTATTTCAAGACCGGTCAAGACCACAACTGTGAAAATAACGCTAAATCATCAGTATCAATTTCTTTAAGATCCTTCTTTTTATTGGATGCACTCCTGATTCAAATCCAAGCAATAACCCGTCTCATTGGTAAATGCATGTTGTTGTTTTTTTTAACTGCTGTCGCCCCACCCCCTTTCACCTTGAGCTGCGGACTGCAGCACTTCGATTGAAAGTTACAAGTGGTTGTCTGGGAAGGGGATAAGATGTCGGCCAAATCATCGGTTATAAAATTTGGCTATTTAAATCACAAACAATACATTTGTAAAGCAACATTGAGAAAAAAGCATACAGCGCAATGTAAGTTCTGCAGTGCTTCACTATCAGAGACGGTGGGGACTACGTCCAACTTTTATCGACACCTTGAAAGAAAGCACAAAGAAAGGTAAGCTGTGTGTAAAAGTGATATTAGGAAAGCTAGCAAGTTAACATAAGCAATTTCCTCGGTATCAAAATTATTCTACCCGGCCATCACACAGTTCTTATTTCAATATTAGCTACACATATTAAGTTAGCTAAAGTTATATATGTATGCTTTATCTTACTGGCGCTGGTCTTGGTCTTGACTCGGTCTCGACTTCCCTCGGTCTTGGTCTTGACTTGGTCCCGGACCCTAAAAGTCTTGGTCTTGTCTCGGTCTCGATACACTCTGGTCTTGGTCTTGTCTTGGTCTCGGGTTAGGTGGTCTTGAACACAACACTGGTGAGAGAAAACAGGAGTTAGATCGGAGTAGATCTCGGAGGGCCTATCATGCAACGATTGTTACCGAGGTAAACAAAACACTCAGGCGGAGAGGAGTCGTTCCGCCACTGTCCTATAAGCACCCAGGCCGAGCCCTCCAAACAAGCTGCAGGTGTGTCGATGGGGTTGGCATGGCACAACTCCAGGGGCTCTGCATCCTAGCGACACCTGGTGGGTGCCATGGGAAGCAGCAGGTGCTCCAGGGAGACAACAAAAAAAAAAAGAAAAACAAAAAGAAACAAAAGAAGAACACAGACCCTGACACTCTCCACACAATCTGTGCACAAGCATGGATAAATGTCAATCTCTGGATTTACAGTGGGGGTAGAGACAACCTAACCTAACCTAACAAAGGTTGGTGTAACTGCACTAAAAGGCCGGTCTACCAAGCACTGACTGGAGGGAACTGAAAACAAATCTTCATTATTTAACTGACGGCAGACATTTCCCACTTTAGAGGCCGTATCTGCTGACAGAAGAATAAATATTCTTCAGTTTGTGCTTCTAAGAAACAGGTAACATGTTAAATGTGAATGTCTTTCTCCTGAAACTGTCGTTTTTATTTCTGGTGGACGTCACCTTTATTTGGTAAGCAATACTTTGCTTACCACATAATGCAAACACCAGAGGCTTCCGCTCACACGTGGCTTATAAATGTCACACAAACCATAAGGGAGCGGAAAATTGTCAAAACCAAGATTTGAACAAAGATTTAGCAAAAACAGGAATATGCAAAATACATTGGTTTGTCAGCACTCATGTACGCTACAGCCAGAAGATTTGTGCTTTGTTTTCTTTCTACTGGTTACAAACAAGTTACACAAGTGAAAACATTTGTAGAATAGGACAAAAACAAATATTCTACCCTGCTTGTTTCTCAGCTCAGATTTTGGGGGAAGTATTGAGTTTCTCTTTTAAAAATGTGTTTACCAGTGTACTGTCTTTCCCACTTCACCACGAAGTAAAGGACCGGCAGCAAGGTTCAACACCTTTCTTCCATTAACACACTGAAGACAATTCTCTTTGTCCACAGGTTTAATAATGCAGAAAGTGTGAAACTGAAATAAATACAACAAAAAATGCGATTACAACATGCACCATTTTGTTACAGTAAAATATCATGAAAAAACTAAACATGAGTAGATAACAAACAGTATACATACAGACGATGACACGAAAGACGAAGGATGGAGGCAGATGGACGTGGATAACAATCAGACATCAAGCACCATGTAAACATCCACCGATTTTTACTTCCTGTGACGTCACTTGCTATTTACAAAATCTCCTGTTGGGGGTGCTAAAACTATACTTACAACAACACTAACACCACTCTAACAGCACACTCCCCGCCTGGCATAGATAAATGCCACTATCAACATTGAATAAGAAACACGTTCAAAACAGTGTAGTCCTACGTCGGCGGTAACAGAAGAATGAGCTCCGTCACTGGTCTTAGAAATACTTTAGTTCCATCCTGCCTTGACACCTTGACCTCTGCTGTGCGGACCTTGTTGTCTTGACTGGGGAGAACTTGAGTAATAATTCCCAGCGGCCATTTGTAACCCATGTTAAAATCTAACACAAATAGGAGTAAATAGTTGATTAAAAAGTCTGTAAACAGAAAATTGTATCGCTGCCCCTTTAAGAGACCAGCGTCACAGGTGCAGCGTCAGAGTGACGCTGCAGCTCACAGGCGGGAGAGAGAGAGCGCAGAGGAGGAATCGGAGTGGAGCGGTTATTAATGAACAACGAAAGTTAATTTAATTAAGAAACATAATCTACCTGGTCGGGAACTGACAGGAATTTTATTGAGAATATTGGTTTTGGTGAGTTTTATGTTTATTTTTTTTTTTTGTACTTTCACCGTATTGTACTGTAAAAAATGTTGCCGTTACAATAGCCGTTACAATAGCCGTTAAGAAGAAATGTTCCGTTATAAACTGTTATTTGGTTAACATATTGAGTAAAGAAGAATGTATTTGTATAATTTGAAGATTTAAAAAGAGTTTTATTGTGTTTGCGACCTGTTATACAGGTCAGGTTTTTTGCTTGGTTGGAAGCTCGGACGGAGCCAGGATTTATTTGCCTTGTGCGGCGCGCACATTCACGGATCGGATTCAGGATGGCGAGCCAGACCCAGAGCGTCAATTCACCTTCTCCATCACATTAAGGAGGGACTCTCCTGCGTGTAGTAAGAACTGATAATTTATTGAATTATTATTTTTGTCTGGATTGAGTCAACTAAGACTTTTCATTGAACTGAAGAACTGAATACATATTTGAAAATACTTTGATTTTTATATATTATATCTTTGAATGTGTTTTGAATAATTGTATTTCATTTTGGTGAAGAGTGATATATTCTTTATTTATTTATTTTCTTCTTTTTTTTAGTTTCATTTACCTTCTTATTGAGAATTTTTAGAGTTTTCTTTGTTTATGTGTTGCATCTTATTTTTGTGTTTTACATTTAGTAAATTATTAGTTTATTACACTTAAGCAGCGGTCTCTGGTGCTGTTATTCTTGCTCCCCACTCCTTAGAGCCTAGAACTGGTCCAGTGGCGCGGTTAGCAGTGTGATACCGGTGCTACACATTCATTCCTCTTGAGTTGCTGGTCTCGTAGAAGCACAATGCTCCCAGTCTCCAGATTGTCGTGCCACTTCCTTCTTGGCTGCAATGTTGACAGATACTGTCTTCTCCATTTGCTCCAGAAAGTTTGGGCCAGATGCTGGACTTGGCCTCATTGCTGCTTACAGAGGTCCTTGACATTAGGGTCTTCAGGTGGAACTGATGGAACACCTATCTTTTGAGTTAGGAGGGTAGCTGGGGTGAGTATAACTGGGTCACTTGGATCAGTAGACACTGGTAGGAGAGGCCTTGAATTTATAATTGCTACCACTTCTGCCATCAGTGTAGTAAGCACCTCATGTGTCAAACTTGATGTCCCAACGTGCAGAAACATTGAATCCAGGATTTTTTTGGCTATGCCAATTAACCTTTCCTATGACCCTGCTCATGGGTTAAAGACCCATGAGCAGCCTCTGCCTGCCAAATACTTCTCAACAGATTTGGAGTCAATATTAGATGGGATCTTTAGGTCTGCTGATGCACTCACAAAATTTGTGCCTCTGTCCGATCGGATCTGCTTCACAGGACCTCGAATGGCCAAAAATCTACTGAGGGCATTGATAAAGCAGGAGGTGTCTAAAGACTCGATGACCTCAATGTGAACTGCTCTAACAGCCATGCAAATAAATATCACAGCCCATCTTTTACTATGGGCGAGACCACCCCTTGTACACCTTGCAACAACATTCCATGGGCCAAACACATCCAATTCAATGTAAGTAAATGGAGGATCCATGGAGAGACGATCTGCTGGCAGTTCGGCCATATTTTGTTGTTGAGGGACACCACGGAGCTTTCAACATGTGACACAATGATAAATGACATTGCCAACCAGTCTCTTCAAACCAATAATCCAGACACCTGCTGCACGAATTGCACCTTCGGTGAAGTGACGGCCTTGGTGCAGGGTTTGTTCATGGTACTATCGGACCAACAGTGTGGCAATATGGGTCTTACCAGGAATGATCTTAGGATGCTTTTCTTCCAGAGAAATTTCTCCAAGTCTCATCCGACCACCTACTCTTAGGATGTTGTGTTTATCAATAAAAGGATCCAGGACCTTAAGAGGACTACCTCGTGAGATCACTTGACCGTTTTTGAGACAGGCCAATTCTTCAGCATATGCCTCTTCCTGGACAGTCCGAATAATGACATCCTCTGATAGATTGAACTGGTCAGGTGTGCCTGCTTTCTGACATAAGTGCCAACTTATACACTGTTTTCTGTGACCATATGAAAGCTGACTGCAACATGAAGAAGAGTAGCAATGGCACGTCTCAAAGCTTGCCAGGTAGAGAACTTAGAAAAGCGATGGGAACCAAGCAATGTAAGAGAAGCCTGCGTTTTCAGAGTGGAGATTTGGGGACGGACTTCAACATCCATGTTTGGCTCCACAAGCTCAAAGGAATCTTGTTCTAAAGATTCTTGTCTAGGCTCAGTAAGAAAACTAGGCCCTCTAAGCCAAGATGTATTTGAGAGAAAGGCAGCTGATACAGATCTTGTTGCACAGTCTGCCGGATTTTCTTCTGTTGACACATACTTCCACTGCTGGGAGGATCTTCTTATGCGCACAACACGGTTGCTAACGTATACATAAAAATACCTTTTTTCTTTATTTATGTATCCGAGCACCACCTTACTATCAGTGTAGAAGGTTGTTGCATCCACATGCACGTCAAGTTCAGATAATATGAAGTCTGCCAGCTCTACAGCCAGTACAGCTGCACAAAGCTCAAGTCTGGGAACTGTGTGTTCAGGTCTGGGTGCCAGTTTTGCCTTCCCCATGACAAAGCCAGTTTGTACACTTCCTGCCTCATCCTCCACCTTGAGATAGGCAACTGCTGCAATAGCCTTGGTTGATGTGTCTGAAAAAACACAGTTCTCTTGTCTTTGCAGTTGAAAGAGAACCTTCGGTATAGGGTCTTGGAATCTTCAAGCTACTTAGATCTTTCAGTGAATCTCGCCAAATCATCCATTGTTCCTCCATCATGTCAGGAAGACGATAATCCCAGTCTACTCTTTGCTGTGTCAGCTCTCTCAGAATGTACTTCCTTTGGATGGTCACAGGAGCCACAAATCCTAAAGGGTCGTACACACTGTGTACCACAGACAAGACGCCTCGACGTGTAAAGGGTTTCTCTTCTTGATCGATTTTGAGTACAAATGCGTCAGACTCCAAGTTCCAGTTCAGTCCCAAGCTCCGTTGTTCAGGAAGAACGTCTGAGCTTAGGTCCAAATCCTTCAAGTCGTTTGCGCGGTCTTCAGCAGGAAAAGCTTCCATAACTTCTTTGTTGTTAGAAGCAATTTTGTGGAGCCTCAAGTTAGAGTTTGCTAGAACATCCTGTGTGTTCTTCAGCAGACTGACTGCACCTTTTACAGTAGAAAAGGACTTAAGTGCATCGTCCACATAGAAGTCACGGTTGACAAAGTCTTTCACTCCAGGGTCATGGTGTGATTCTTCCTCCATCGCAGCTTGCCTAAGGCAGTAAATAGCGACTGCTGGACTGGGGCTGTTTCCAAACACATGTACTGTCATGCGGTACTCAATGACTTCCTGTGTAGGGTCATTGTCCCTGAACCAAAAGAACCGTAAGAAGTTACGATCCTCTTCCCTCACAAGGAAGGAATGAAACATTTGTTTGATGTCTGCAGTTATGGCAATGGCTTCTTTGCGAAATCTCATCAGAACACCAAGGAGTAGATTGTTGAGGACATTATTTAAAGACACCCCCTGATGCTGTGCACTTGAATCAAACACAACACGAATGTTGCCAGGCTTCTTTGGGTGATACACCCCAAAAATAGGAAGGTACCACCGTTCCTGGTTCGGTTTGAGAAGTGGAGCAACTTCAGCATGTCCATTTTCAAATATTTTTTCCATAAAGGAGAAGAAGTGTTGGCTCATCTGTGGTTTCCTCTCTAGGTTGTGTTTGAGAGAGTGAAATCGCGTAATGGCCTGCTGTCTATTATCAGGGAGGTGCTGTCTCGGCTGTCTGAATGGTAGAGGAGCTACCCAGCTATTTTTTACACCTTGTTTTTTTTTTACACCTTGTTTCATTATTGCCATGAAGGCAAGATCTTCAAAGGATGAAGCTTGTTTATTATCTTCGCTTGTAAGTTGGAACACTGTGCGACCTAGCTCAAAACCTTCTACCTCGTTGACATCTTTTGATCTTTTGGGACTGTATCTCTCTTTAACATGTAGAACACTTGGACAGGGCTCAAAAATGGTTGTACGAGCCTGTTCGAGAATGTTGGTGAAATATGTGTTCACGCTGAGTGGCTTATGAACACGCCCAAGGCAGACTTTGCCCACAATCACCCATCCTAAAGTAAGTTTCTGAGCATAGGGAGCTTCTGGTGGGCCATTGATGCATTTGTGAACCTTATGAAGCCTGATGATGTCACGTCCAAGTAGGAGCATAATAGGGACATCTGGTTCAAGTTCTGGGATGAGGTGAGCGATTGGTTTGAGATGTTCGTGATAAAGAGCAGCACTCGGTGTTGGAATTTCTGCTCTGTTGTCTGGTATCTCGTTACACTCCAGCAGACTTGGTAGTAGCTGCACTGTTTTACCATCCACTGACTCTATACAGAAGTCTGAAGCTACTCTTCCCATATTTTCAGACATTCCACAGCAAGTCTTTAGTGAGTACGAAGCAGCCGGGCCTTGAACACCAAACGTGTCGAAGAAACTCGAGTGTGCCAGAGATCTGTTACTCTGTTCATCTATGATAACATAAGCCTTTATAGCTTTGTCACTTTCTCCTTTAGGATAGACTCTGGCCAGGCATATCTTGGAGCAGTTCTTGACTGCACGGTCTCCTCCACAGACTGAAGTGCACTGGCTAGTAACTTCTGAAGTTTGAATGGGTTCTGGCTCCCCACCGTGCTCTATTGGTGGTTTGGTGTCTTTAACCCATGGTGCCTGACCCGGGAGTAGTGCTGAAGAGTGTCTGTCACTGCTGCATTCAGTGCACTTAACAATAGTTTGGCAGTCTCTAGCAGTGTGTGCTGAGGAGTTGCAACACTTAAAACAGATGCCATTTTCTTTGAGAAAAGTTTTCATTTCTTCTAAAGGTTTTTCTCGAAATGCACGACACTTCTGTAATGTGTGGGGCTTGTTATGTATTGGACATCTCTTATCTGGATCCTCCATGTTCTTTTTGTATCTGTTGTATGAACACGCAGCAGCTGATACTTCTGTTTTGTGAACTGAGATTTCCCTTGTTCTGTTTTTCCATGGAGGTCTTTGTATGTTAAGTTTAACTTCATCTTGACAAACAAAGTTGAAGCTAGGATCATTTCTTATTTGTGCTTGATTGTAGATGAATGAGACAAAGACTGAGAATGGGGGGAACGGTACACAATGTAATTGTTTATAAGAAGATCCATGAGAGAGCCATTTTTCTTGTATATTATAAGGTAATTTTTGTGCTACTGCATGTACACCTCTGGGAGTATCAAGATAAGAAAGACCAGGCAGATCTCCCTCAGCCTTAGCTGCATCTAATTCCATCAGTAAATCACTGAGGTCCTGAAGTTTGGTGTGATCCTTGTTTCCAATTTTTGGAAAACTATCAAGCCTCTCAAACAAAGCTTTCTCAATAGCTTCAGATGCACCATAAGAAGCATCTAATCTGCTCCAGATCATGTTCAACCCTTTAGCTGGCTGGTTTATATGGATAGATCTTATGCATTTTGCATGCTTAGTTGATTCACTTCCCAGCCATTTGACAAGCAGGTCCATTTCTTCATCACATGTTAGGTTTAAGTCTCATATGGCATTCTGGAATGAACGTCGCCAGGCCCTGTAGTCTCAAACTCGTTAAACTGTAAAAGACCTGTTGTAACAAGCTCTCGTCGTGCTAGAAATCTGACAAAGTCTGTCATCTGCGAACCAGTTGAGTGAGCAGGCTGCTGGAAGTTGTCACGTTGGGATGTGGGACGAGTTTCCATTGCATTGTTCGTGTCACATGGTTGCTGATTTGCAGTGGGACTGTGTGCAGGCATTAGAGAGTCTTGATCATTTTCTTTTATTGTTCTGTACTGGTGCTCTATCTGTTGCGATGAGGTGGCTTTCTTCATGCATGTCTGCTGAAAGTTTAGCCTGGCTCTCCACATACTCTTGTGCGCTCGGAAGAGTCAACTACTGATGAGAGAAAAGGAAGCCTACATCTGTGTTTTCCTTTGGGTGATTCTCACGAACATGGTCCAACTCGTAGCGAAAATTAAAAAACATTATATACTCACAAGAACACTCACTCCTTATAAAAGAGATCCTAATTTTACTTTTCACTGTAAAATTATAATCTATATGTTCAATTTCTAGGTATTTTTAAACATTTTAGTCTAACTTTGAGCAAATAAATTCATTACCGTAACATGATTTCCATGAAGAAATTTGAAACCACAAAACCTTTTTTCTTGCATTTTTTGGACACCCAGGATTTCAGTGTGGACAGAGGGACAGATATAAACAAAAGTAGACATTTTCAACAAAATGTTTTATTTTAATACAAAAAATAATTTCATCACCGTAACAGTGTTGCAAAATTCAAAGTCAATTTTGATTGTGATTTTGTATCAAATCATTATATTGAAAAAACAATATAACCATAGTATAAAGGGTTTGGTACATTTCTTGAAGGGACTAAAATATAAAATTAATTCATGCAACTAATCTAAATAAATCCTCATAAAGTTAACATAGCGGTAATGAAAAAACATATGTCGGTAATGAATAACAATGTTTCGGTAGTGAATCCTTCATAGCTATATTATATAACTACACAATAAAATACTCTTGTAAAACATATTTTAAATTTTTATTTAAGTTTATTAAGTCAATGCTATTGTTCTAAACAGAAGACAATGGGAAACAGTTTGATTTAGGGTAAATGCAAAAGCAAACAAGGCACAGGGAGATAATAGGTCATCAGAAGAAAGGCACAGAGAGACAATAGATATTGAACTTGAAAATAACAGGAAACACTACAATCAATCAATCAAATTTTATTTGTATAGCACATTTCAGCTACAAGGCATTTCAAAGTGCTTTACATTATAAACACAAAACACAAAGGCATGCAACATAGAATAAAATACCAACTTTTTTTTTTTTTTTTAGAAGGTCAAACAGGAAACAATGCTAGTACACAAGAAATCAAAAGTGGTGTCAGTGGACTTTCTTCTTGTACTTAGCCCAGATTTCTGACACCACACAGAAGTGTCTTGCGGATGAAGAGGTAGGCAGTGGTTCAGGAATGATTTCTTTGATGTCATCTAAATAGTACCACACCTTCTCACCAGCAAATCTTATTGATGGGGTGTAGAAGCGGTTGTCTCCCGCGCAGCTCATTGTATCAACCTCATACTGACCTCTGGCAATCTGGATTAATGAAGTAAAAACAAGTTTATCAACTGCGTCTTTCAAAGACAATTTGATTATGATGATTATTACCTCCACATTACATATTGACAATTTGAATCCAATACTTGCACACCTGACTTCCCATTCTCCATTCAGTCTTAAACCTACCTGTGTCACTGTGCCAGGATAGAGGTCTCCATCATAGTCCACAAGGACCCATGTTCCGACTTTGATGGTCTCTTCAGATTCCCTTTGAGCGAAAACAAACTCCTTTGGGGAGAAACAGTCACAAGAGTGACTACAGAAGCACGAGACCTCTTGAAATTTAATATTTCCTGGTTCAGTAGCAACAACCTGTGGAGACACTATGTTTAGTTTCATCTGCCAAAACATGAAAATGTCAGGTTTATATAACATACATTTGTTTTAAAATACAAACTTTAATTGATACCTGATGGATTTTCATAGTTCCTGGGACTGATTTCAGGAATGGAGGAACTAGTTCTCCACAGGAAGCAATATTATCCTCTGTTACTTCAAAAAGCCTAACAGATGAGTGCTTTGCTAGATTCTCCAGTAGAGCAGAAGCATTTGGGATATCTGTGCCATAGGCCACCACACGATCTGCCAGGTTTTTAAGCGCTCCTCCTACTCCATCAGGAGCTCCCTTCCCATGAGAAGCCTCAGTCAAGTTCCATGTGACAGTCTCAAACCCTTTCATGAAAGGTACTGTGGACGCAAGGTAGAATGCTATCTTGTTTCGATATTGAGATGTTGGTCCATCAGACAGAAAGTGAATATTTTTTGCCAGGGGGTAGTTAGATCTTATGTAGTCTAAAACTGGTTGCAAATGTGCCCATGTAGCAACAGCATCATGCTGGAGACTGGCAGACACAGTAGCAAAGAACTCAACATGACCATGAGTGTAGTATAACACCCCGGTATGGAGTGTGACTTGCTGATAGGATCCACCAAAGTGAGTGTCCTTGATTTCTTTGCTCCATTTACAAGTGTAGTTTTCGCTGTAGTCGACATGGACTATAACATCATGCTGGGTCAAATTTTCTTTTAATTGTTTAAGATGAGTGAACTGGTGCCAAATATTGTACAAATGAGTACAGATCCGGGGCAGTTCCATCTTTGTTAGCTCTACAAGCCTTTCAATACTAGCAACTTTCTTCTCCATGGTTGTGACTTTGATGTCTGTCTCAGTGGTAGTGCCACCCTGAGGGCTTTGTTACTGGTGTTGACCTTGTTGTCCACTCAGTCCAAGATATGATGTTGTTTTTTGTTGTTGGATCCACATTGACAGGGAAGGTAAGATCTTTGCAGACTTCACATCTACCATACATACAATCAATGTTTTTTGAATCACAGACAGATGAAGCCACTACATCAGTAACAGATAACGTATGTATCATTCCAAGATGGTGCATTTTTTTTAACTTTACTTGAAAAATTCTCATGAATTTTGCAGGCACATGTCTCTCTGTCCGTGATCTTTGGTCTCACTATCCAGAAGGGCTTCAGCTTAAAAAACTGGGAGCGGGACACATTGAGGCCTGGGTTGTCTTTAAGAAATCTCTTCTGGAGATTTTCCATGGTGTCTGAGAGGAACCTCTTCCTGTAAATTTGTCCACCCTTCCTGACTTCCCCAGCTTTTCCGTTTATTAATGTGGACACATTATCTCTGTTTAGGAACAGTCTGACATTGTCACTCATCTCTCTTCTTTTGCTTCTCTCACACTGTTTCTTCCGGTTATCTCTCCTCTTTTTGGCTTGACTTGTAATTACACTTCTGGACCTGTGTGCCTCCATTCGTTTTAATTTTTTCTTCAAACAATCTAGTTCCTTTTTTTTCTCGATGATAATTTGCTGTGCCTTCCTTAGTTTTTCTGTTAATTTGTTTGTTTTTTCTGCTTTGGTCATAAGGTTGTGGTTGAAGCTGAGGGTTGCTTTCATTCATACTGTCATCTGAGGGAGGGGTTTCATTTAGTATGTCCTGAACTGTTTGTTTCTTTTTATTGTATCTGTTTGAATTTTCCCTCCATTTTTTTCGCTGTTTCTGCAGCTGCCTGGGTGTCAGATCTGCAGCTGCCTTTAACAACCCTTTTTCCTTGCGCTTCTTATATCTGTTAAAATAAAATATCAATAGGAACATTTGTGAGACAGCAAAGTCTTCAACATACTCCATACTGTATTTGCACATTGTAAGCGTGAAAAAGAAAAATAGAAGGAGAGCTGAGACAGAGGGGAAAAAAGAGGGAGAAAGAGGCACAGAGAGACACTACCTTTCCCTTTCCTTCCTTCTATACTCCTCTAGAAGCTCCGGATTGTTATAAATCTTCTATGATTCTCCACTCTAGCTCTTGATGCTGCCCTCTTATGTTCACTTCCTTTTGCCCTTCATATTAGGTGATATCAATTAGGATAAATGAGCATAAAAATTTTGCCCCCCAAAAAGTTGAAAGTGTAATAAACAATAACAAACATTACATTATAAATCAACATTTATCTATTTACTATTGCAAAATGACACTATTCATCACCGTAATATTATTTCTTATTACTGCAACAGGCCTTAGATTACGTGGTAATGAAAGTTATGCATTACGGTAATGAATGACATCCACATGAGCTAGCTTAAAATTCTAGAATACCATGATGACTCAGCTAAACTTTTCTCACAAACAGTATGAACTGACTTTTATTAAAATATTCAGAATTATTTAATAGCAAATTGTTACATATTATCAAATTTGATTATTTTATATACATTTAAACAAATTTATGATATTTTTTGTAAACTTGCTTGATTATAATGATAAATTGAGGTGAAAGCGTTTTTTTTCTACTTAGGACACATTACGGTAATGAATTTGTGACTTCAAAAACAGTTAAAAAACATAAAAAAAACAATGATCTTTGCAAAATATTAGAAATAATGATTGTTCAAATAAAATAATTTTTTTTTTTTTAGTTTTTTTTTAGTACGCCCCTAAAATCTTATAAGACATTCGATAGGTTGGGTTCGTGAGAATCACCCACTTGTTCCTGCCACTGCTTCTAAGGCTTCTGCCTTTGCTATGGCTGCAGCAGTCTCCTTTTCTATAGTCAACATTTCCATTGAAGCTTCTAGACGAGCCTTTTCCATTTTTATTAACTTCATTTCTTTTTCTGCAAATACTAAACGTGCCTTTGCCGCTTCAGCGTTAGCCCTGGCTTTTGCAGCCGCAGCGCTAGTTGCTGTTCCACTGGAACAAACAGTGGAACAGCAACTGTTGATGCACAAGACCTTGTCTTTAATGACGCTGACTTTGTCTCCATATTGCAGGTCGGTAGAAGCTGTATTGTGTGATGACAGTTGCTGTAGTGACACTCACTGGATTACCTCGTGTATAACGTGTCGTCTTTTCACTGTACTGTCTTTCCCACTTCACCACGAAGTAAAGGACCGGCAGCAAGGTTCAACACCTTTCTTCCATTAACACACTGAAGACAATTCTCTTTGTCCACAGGTTTTATAATGCAGAAAGTGTGAAACTGAAATAAATACAACAAAAAATACGATTACAACATGCACCATTGTGTTACAGTAAAATATCATGAAAAAACTAAACATGAGTAGATAACAAACAGTATACATACAGACGATAACACGAAAGACGAAGGATGGAGGCAGATGGATGTGGATAACAATCAGACATCAAGCACCATGTAAACATCCACCGATTTTTACTTCCTGTGACGTCACTTGCTATTTAAAAAATCTCCTGTTGGGGGTGCTAAAACTATACTTACAACAACACTAACACCACTCTAACAGCACAACCAGAGAGTTTAATAGCATCCACCACATAGCAAAATGGCAGATATTTTGTTGATGTGCCCGGTGCTAATACATTGAATGCATTCCTTTCAGAGCGCATTCATGTTGAGAGAGGTAGAACAGGATTGTGCAGATATGATTACTTCAGTAAAAGTGAAAAAGTTCAGCAATTTCAGAACTTTTCAAAAGATTGAAAAAGGTCAAAAAAGATGTTTGACATTCAATCTACCAACTCAAAGAACAATCGGTTCCAAAACACTGCAGAATGTTTTTCAGTCAACTGCTTACACAATTGGGTGGGAACAAAGCACCTCACCTGCTTTTTAGAGAAATACAATTTCTACATAATCACACATTTCCCGTTTTTGCTTCCAAGTTCTACTTTGACTGGCCCCCATCACTTGTTCAGAGAACAACTTTGCTAACAAGGTCCGGCATGGAGCAACTCACTTCCACTGTGGTCAACGGCAACTTCTCTACTGCAGGACATTTGTCGCAGCACCCCTGGAGCACCAATGATCTCGTCACTGCCGCGGTGTTGTCCATCTGTTTTCTCCTGGGAGTTTCTGGAAACGTCGCGGTGTTAATACTCAAGCCCAACTGGCAGAATATGTCCAATCTGAGTCAGAGTTTAATGCTGAATCTTGCCATTTCTGACCTGCTCAGTCTGCTGACCCTTCCACTTTGGATTTACGCATTTCTGTTTGGCTGGAAATTTGATCTGGTGCCATGCAAACTGTTAGGATATGTCGTGTACTGCAGCATTTATGCCAGCTTACTGACTATGTCTACTAAGCATCCAGCGCTACCTTGTTGTGGTGCGCCAAAGAAGGAGCCATCAGGTAAAAAGGAGAGCACTGCTGTTCATGCTCTGGTTGGTTGCCAGTATCTTGGCCATCCTGGTTTGGTGGTTCGGAATCTGCAAACCAATCAGCAATGGATTAGTTGCGTAGGAGAGTATTCTTCTGATGCCCAGTGGGTGGCTGTTCTGCTAACGGAGACCGTGTTTGTATTCATTTGTTTTATTCTCGTGGCATTTTCATATGTCTGTCTTCAAAAAAGAGTTAACCAGTCAGCCTTTTTCAACAACCCACAGACAACCCGACTATCACCAGTATCGTCAGTTTTTTTGTTCTGTGGGCTCCATATCATACAATAAATGTGCTGGGAGTGGCAGCAATATGTTTGAAAAATGACAATTTGCTCAACTTTTGCCATGAAACCTGGAACGTTTTTGGAGCAGTGACGTTCTAAACAGCTGTCTAAATCCACTCCTGTACGCATTCACTTCTCGTAAAATGTGCAGAGTTTGCAGAAAAACAGAAGAGTTGCAGCAAAGGTTCAGAAATTCCCAAACTGAGATCAGTACAATCACTAAACTTGATAACATCAATATGTTTTGACACCTTTTAAGCAAAACAGAATTGTTACTTTCAGAGGCAAAAGCGCTTTTGTTATCTTTTACGTGCAATGTCAGATTACTTTTTTCAGAGCAGGTTATAGAGCACTTTTGTTAATCACTTGTGAAATTAAATTATAGCACAAAAGATCTTTATGAAAATGTTACTTGGTCTAAGGGATTTCTGTCTTATCTATTTTCATTTCTATTTTTTACACAGAACAAAATCTCTCTCAAAGCTTCAATTAGTGTTGTTTATAACTAAGATAATTTTGTGTTTAACTTCCTTCCTGTGTTTGTGGACCTAAATCTGGACCAAGATAAAAAAGACTAAAATGTTTCGTGGAATCAGGCTGGTTGAAAGAAGACAATCCATTTTTTTATGTTACTCTGTTGCAGCTAAATTCTACTTTGGCGATCTGTGACATTTAGGATTTTGTGAACTAAAATGCCAACAAAGAAGCACATCGGCAGTTATGTTGCAGAAGTGATGTATGTTTTTGCCTATGTCTACCACAAACTGTGTTGCCCTGGACATCCTCGTCACAAAAATAGCAAGCACTGATAGAAAGCAGTGATGATTCAATTGCTTAGAACAACAGTAACAAATGACTAGAGTTGGTTGATCAAGTTTCCGGCTTGATTTAAAAAAAAGGTTGGATAGATTGTACTTATGTGATAGACACAAGTGCAATCTAACCAAGCTTTTTTTTTTGACTGAGTATAGAAACCTAACCAACAAAATCCAGCCCCTTTTTAGTGGGTTTTTTTTTCAATTCCTCTTAATCTGACCAGTTTACTTCCGTGACAGCACATTTAGCACTGTTAACAGCATCATGAGTAATAACTCCTACATGAACACCTTTGATTTCTCTCTACCTCCTCGCACCTAGGTGCCTAACGGACTGATCCCGGCGGTTCTGCTGTCCTTCTGCTTTCTCCTAGGAGTTCCTGGAAACATCGCAGTGATTCTTTTAAAGCCCAAATGGCAGAACATGTCCCACCTGAGCCAGAGTTTGATGCTCAACTTGGCCATTTTTGACCTGCTCTCTCTGCTCACTCTCCCACTGTGGATTTACGCTCTGCTCAACGCCTGGATATTCGGCCTTGAAACCTGTAAGCTTTTAGGATTTCTTGTGTACTGCAGCCTTTATGGCAGCTTGCTGACTGTGACAGCGTTGGGTGTCCAGCGGTACGTTGTGGTGGTGAACCAACGGAGATGCGCTCAGGTACAAAAAATCCACCTGCTGGTTCCACTCTGGTTTGGCGCTCTGATCCTGTCTATCCCTGCTTTGGTGACGGAGCAGGTGGAAACTAAAGAGCAGTGGACGTACTGCTACCCTCAGTTTTCATCTCGGGCTCAGGGATTGGCAGTGCTGCTGTCAGAGACCACATCTGGCTTTGTTTCCTTTTTTGTCGTGGCCTATTCCTACATTCGCCTCCACAGGAGGATTAGACAGGCAACCTTCTTCAACAATCCACAGACGACCAGGCTGTTGACCAGCATCATTGTAAGCAATTTTGTTCTGTGGTCTCCCCTTCATACCATAAATGTATTGGCCCTGGGAGCTATCTGCTTCAAAAATGACAGTTTGTTGATGTCTTGTGTGAACATATGGGACATTGTCAAAGCAATTGCTTTTCTAAATAATTGCATTAACCCACTGCTGTATGCCTTTAACTTCCATAAACTGTGCAGAGTTTGCATAAGCCAAGAAGAATCGGCATATCCTTCACCAACACTGGAAATAAGTACAGTTGCAGAAACTATGATTATCAACTAAAAATGTCATTTTTGTCCACAGAACAGAGCAAAGCTTTGAATGAAAACTTTTGTCCTCTGCTATAAAAAACTGTAAAAAATGGGTTTTAAATTTGAAATCTAAATTTTAGGCAACATTATAGTCTTCACTGAGAGGATTGTGCTGGAATTGTTTTGTTAAGCTTTCTTGTGTTTATATTATACCAATTTTGAATTTGGGTTTCCAATTTTGTTTTTGTTTTTTACAGAGTTGGACTAGATATATATTGTAAAGTATAATTAACCTTGTGCAAATATGAAAATCATGGCCTTCTATAGACTAATATTTACCAAAGTAGGTAAAGTGCTGAGTTAATTTCTACATCAGAACCTTTACATTGTTCAAAACTGTTGTTGTCCATTCTGGCATCTAAACTAAACACAGCCTTTTCTGCAGCAAATCTTTTGTATTTCTATTTGTAAAGTAAAATCAGTTTTCCACACCGGTGTGATGCTTGCCTAAAAACAGAAGCAACCATGTTTGGCGCTTTTGGCTGTGAGCATATTAAAAATTACAAATGCACAACATATATTTTAAATTGTATTTAATTTTTTTTTCTCCTTTTTATCTAAACAGGAAAAAAAAAAAACGCTTTAAAAACCATAGTACGATGATCAGGTGATTGTAATCTGTCTACTATTGTTCAGGCTGTAACAACATTCAGCTTCCGAGCTTCGATAATCCAAGATACAAGGTTTTCACTGAATACAGTTTTCACAAATTACAAACAGTACATGAAGTAATCAATAATCCTGGTTGAATATTCCAGCCCTGATGAAACCAGTCCATTTATTTTGGATCTTATGCTTAGAAAGCATGTCAAATTTCAGTTTTATTTTTCAGAAGTGGAATAACTGTATCAGAAATCTTAAATAATGTTTGGTTTGCTTTGTCTAAATTGTGATGGATGAGATGAAGTCTGGACTCCAAAGCTTTATTTAAAATATTGATAGAAATTAGGGTTGACAGGAAAACTTATTAGCTTTGTGCATCTACCCAAATCTGCCACTTAAAATGTTAAATTAACATTCTATTTCAGTTATTCAGTGTAGAACTGTTTCACTATAGGACTAGTTGAAGTTAAAGATTGCAGATGTTTACATACAGCCTTTCTTGGTAAAATAATTTCTTTTTATTTTAAACCAGTGTGTTTTGATATTTGAACCGATCAGCTGAAGCCTTTTATACCTCGCGCCATGTCTTCATCTCACTGACTGTATTAAACCACACATGTATACTTTCATAATACCTATAAATACACATTATTATCGTGGTTATCGTGTTATCCTAACACAATAATCCTAAACGTGTCAGGATTAAATAAAAAGTTAATCCTAACTTTTTTAGGATTATATTAAACACGAAGGAGTGTCATAGTTTTGTTAGCCATCGATGTAGAAATGAAGCAGTGGACTGAGCTGTGGTTTACCCAAGATGCAATGCAAACTGTGTGGTTAAAATGCCAGTTTTTGTTAGTGCATAAATTTTTTGCTTTTTTTCTGATGTGACCTCTATTTTTTCAGAGTCGGCATGGCTTTGTGTGACTCCGTGTGGTTGTGCAGGATGGCACGCTTCATCACTACAACATGCTAAAAACTGGATTTCTGTAAATGTGAGTGTAAGATCTGTTCAAAGAAATATAGCTTCATTTCTGTCACTGCATTCAAAATACATGCACCTTTCAGCTCTACTTGTTCATTCTGTTTCACACTCAAACGTAAGTGTGAGCACTGCCTGGCAACCGTTGCAGCCGGATTGCCAGTGTGTGACCGTGACATCACTGTGACATCACTGTGACATCACTGTGACATGGACTGATTTTAGAACACAGCTCCTGTGTGATGATTGTAAACTGACTGGATTTATTCACTTCGAACTGAGGACTGAATATTTACATTTGAATTGAGGCCAACATTTACTTTTGCTTTACTGAGCTGAAGAGTAAACAGTGAGTAAGTTTGCTCAGAACCACTTCATTCAGCCAGCCACAGCGCCAAACACCAAATAAATGCAAGTGGTCTGTCCTCAGCTGACTTAATTGCTTATTTTTTTTATTATTATTTTGATCTTTTTTTTGCCAGGCAGTGATTGGCAATTTGAGAGGGGCTTATTCTCCAGAGGACCTCACAGCACACCACACTAGATGCAGCCATTCCCCGATACATTCACACATTGATGGTGGCTCGTTATTTATTTGTTACCTTGCTTATTTGTTTGATTTATTATTTACTTTAGAATTGTTTTTTTTCCATCCCAAACAAAAACCTTTTCCTGTGGTTTTGTGAGGTGACTCCAGCTCACTTAGGTTATTCACCTGATTGAAGTTGGCCCACCCACCTTCTTCAAACCTGGCAAAATTGGTGTCAAACGTTTGTGCTACGTTTGTGCAGCAAAAATATTAGTTTGTGCTGCTTTGGCTTTGAAGATATTAGTGAAAGTTTAAAGGTCAAAAGGTAAACCAGCCCCTCACTTTTCCCACTTTTGTGAAATCAGACAAAATTGGTGTCAAACGTTTGTGCTACGTTTGTGCAGCAAAAATATTAGTTTGTGCTGCTTTGGCTTTGAAGATATTATTGAAAGTTTAAAGGTCAAAAGGTAAACCAGCCCCTCACTTTTCCCACTTTTGTGAAATCAGACAAAATTGGTGTCAAACGTTTGTGCTGCGTTTGTCATGGTTTGTGCAGCAAAATCTGTTGTTTGTGCTGCTGTCATATTAAAGATATTAAGAAATGTTTCTAGAGGTCATTAAAGGTCAATCAGCCCCCCCCCTCCCCCACCACACCTCACCCCCTCTCCTTCTTCAAATCAGACAAAATGGGTGTCAATTAACTTAATTACGTTTGTGCAAATGTTTGATACCAATTTTGTCTGATTTCATAAAATTGGGGGAGGGGGGACTGGTTGACCTTTTGACCTTTAACTTTTCATTAATATCTTCAAAGCCAAAGCAGCACAAACGAAAATTTGACACCAATTTTGTCTGATCACTCAGGTCTCTGACCTTTAATTTTGGTAAAACTGAAAAAGAAGCATAAAAAGAACCATATATGAACTGTACAGACATTGCCATATGAAAGACAAAATAATAAAATTCTGTCTTTCATATGGCAATGTCTGTACAGTTCATATATGGTTCTTTTTATGCTTCTTTTTCAAAGACAGAATTTTATTATTCTGTCTTTCATAAGACGTGTCCAGCCTTCGTAGTTAGGCAGACTGAATTTTAATGATTTATGTTAGATTTTAACAGAAAATAGGATATTGGCTTATTTTTGAAAAGCCCATCAGACAATTTATAATTTTGTATTGCAAAACTGAACTTGCACAAGGAAATAATTTATTGAATCATTTGTCATGAGCTAATGATACAACAACAAATGGTGATTGCAGTGCAGTTTGCATTTTCTTTCAACTGATGGGACAGTGGTATGATCAAGAAACCACTAATTATGTTTATGAGTCCTGAGTGTTGAGTTTTATGCTGAGTTCCAGGCTATGCTGCCTGGACTTTTGTACTCTCTGGAGATCCTCATCAAATCCTCAAAACTCAGTTGCTGCCTCACCTCTTTGCTTTTGGAGAGGTGAGACAGCAACAACCGTAAATCACAACACAATATAAAGGGGCCAATTAACCGAAACTCGCCAGCTTTTTGGACTGTGGGAGAAGCCAAAGCACTTGGAGAACCCACATCTGCACAGGGATATCATGGAAACTCCACACAGAGTTTCCGTGATACTCTGCGTGAAATATCATGGTTCCACTTTGGTGGAACAAAGTTTGCTCTACCACTGCGTTACAGTGGTGGCACAAATTGTCATACACATCCATGCACTTTTCTGCAAGGGAAATGTAGGAAATGTAAAAGAGACTTGCTTTTTTTTGAGAGTGGGAGAAGCCACTTGGAGGGAACCCACATCTGCATAGGGATATCGTGGAAACTCCATGCAGAAACATTCAGTGGTGCAACAAACCTGCATGCACACACTCTTTTTCAGTGGAAATGTAGAGAGCCCAATGAAAAGAAACTAACATGTTGCTTTTTTTTTAGAGTGGGAGAAGCCAAAGCACTTGGAGAGAACCCACATCTGCACATTGGAAAATCCATGCAGAGTTTCCGTGATACTCCAATCACGGTTCCACTTTGGTGGAACAAAGTTTGTTCTGCCACTGCGTTCCAGTGTTGAAACAAATACTCACACATCCTTTCACTTTTCTTCGTGGGAAACGTAGGAAATGTTAAAGAAACTTGCTTTTCTGATGGTGGGAGAAGTCAAATCACTTGTAGAGAACCCACATCTGCATGGGAATATCCTGGATTCTCCATGGAGAAACAAAATGTTGGCATTTGAGGCCTTGGTGACAAGCACCAACTGTGTATTGTGCAATCAGTCACTTCTCATCATTGTTTTTAAATACTCCAAAAGACAAGAGGTATTGGTCCATACCACTTTTGCTTCATCTCAGAGATATTTTTTTATCTCAGTTGAGAGCTAATATTTGATCAAACTTACTTGTCAGTCTTTTCTGAAGGAAAAAAGAAGGGAATACTCTGAAGATTACCCTTCAGAGTAGTTTTAGAATTTCCGTGATCTGTTTCTATGAAGACGTGTATCATTCTTATTGATTGTGTGACAGATTTCTTCCTGCCTGGGATCTGTCGGAGATTTTGTGTTTTGGTTCCCGTCAAGAAGTGAATCACTCACTCTGCTTGTCTGATAGATGTCTCCATACCTGGAATATGACAGATGTTTTGGGTTTTGGTTCCTGTGAAGAAGTGAATCACTCACTCTGCTTGTCTCATAGATGTCTACATACCTGGAATATGACAGAGGTTTTGGGTTTTGGTTCCTGTGAAGAAGTGAATCACTCACTCTGCTTGTCTGATAGATGTCCTCATGCCTGGAATATGACAGAGGTTTGGGTTTTTGTTGCTGTGCAGATATAAATCACTGACTTTGGATGTCGGATAGATTTCTTCCTGCCTGGAATCTGTCAGAGTTTTGGGGTTATTGTTGCTCTGCAGATAAAAATCCCTCACTTTGGATGTCGGATAGATTTCTTCCTGTCTGGAATCTGTCAGAGTTTTGGGGGTTTTGTTGCTGTGCAGATAAAAATCACTCACTTTGGATGTCGGATAGATTTCTTCCTGCCTGGAATCTGTCAGAGTTTTGGGGGTTTTGTTGCTGTGCAGATAAAAATCACTCACTTTGGATGTCTGATAGATGTCTTCCTGCCTGGAATCTGTCAGAGTTTTGGGGGTTTTGTTGCTGTGCAGATATAAATCACTCACTTTGGATGTCTGAGAGATTTCTTCCTGCCTGGAATCTGTCAGAGTTTTGGGGGTTTTGTTGCTGTGCAGATATAAATCCTTAATTTTGAATGTGTGATAGAATTCTTCCTGCATTAAATCTGTCTGAGATTTTGTGTTGTCATTGCTATGAAGATGTAAATCAATCACCTCCGTCGTCTCACAGATTTCTTCCTGCCTGAAATCTGTCTGAGATTTTGTGTCGTCATTCCTATAAAGATGTAAATCAGTCACCTCCGTCGTCTCACAGATTTCTTCCTGCCTGAAATCTGTCTGAGATTTTGTGTCGTCATTCCTATGAAGATTTAAATCAATCACCTCCGTCGTCTCACAGATTTCTTCCTGCCTGAGATCTGTCTGAGATTTTGGTTTTTTGTTGCTGTGCACATATAAATCCTTAATTCTGAATGTGTGATAGAATTCTTCCTGCCTTAATTCTGTCGGAGATTTTGTGTTGTCCCTACGAACACGCACATCAATCACGTCAGAGATTTCTTCCTCGCTGGAATCTGTCAGAGTTTCGTTGCTGTGCAGATCTAAATCACTCATTTTGAATGTCTGAGAGATTTCTTCCTGCCTCAAATCTGTCAGAGATTTTGTGTTGTCATTCCTATGAGGATGTAAATCAATCACCTCCGTCGTTTCACAGATTTCTTCCTGCCTGAAATCTGTCTGAGATTTTGTGTTGACATTCCTATGAAGACGTAAATCAATCACCTCTGTCGTCTCACAGATTTCTTCCTGCCTGAAATCTGTCTGAGATTTTGTGTCGTCATTCCTATGAAGACGTAAATCAATCACCTCCGTCGTCTCACAGATTTCTTCCTGCCTGAAATCTGTCTGAGATTTTGTGTCGTCATTCCTATTTAGATGTAAATCAATCACCTCCGTCGTCTCACAGATTTCTTCCTGCCTGGAATCTGTCTGAGATTTTGTGTCGTCATTCCTATTTAGATGTAAATCAATCACCTCCGTCGTCTCACAGATTTCTTCCTTCCTGGAATCTGTTTTTTGGTTGTTGGTGTGCACATATAAATCCTTAATTCTGAATGTGTGATAGAATTCTTCCTGCCTTAATTCTGTCGGAGATTTTGTGTTGTCCCTACGAACACGTACATCAATCACCTCAGAGATTTCTTCCTCGCTGGAATCTGTCAGAGTTTCATTGCTGCGCAGATATAAATCACTCGGATAGATTTCTTCCTGCCTCAAATCTGTCAGAGATTTTGTGTTGTCATTACTATGAGGACGTAAATCAATCACCTCCGTCGTCTCACAGATTTCTTCCTGCCTGAAATCTGTCAGAGATTTTGTGTTGTCGTTCCTATGAAGACGTAAATCACTCACTTTGTTTGTCTGAGAGATTTCTTCCTGCCTCAAATCTGTCAGAGATTTTGTGTTGTTGTTCCTATGAAGACGTAAATCACTCACTTTGTTTGTCTGAGAGATTTCTTCCTGCCTGAAATCTGTCAGAGATTTTGTGTTGTTGTTCCTATGAAGACGTAAATCACTCACTTTGGTTGTCTCACAGATTTCTTCCAGCCTGGAATCTGTCTGAGTTTTTATGTTTTTGTTCCTGTGAATATGTAAATCGCTCACTTTGGTTTTCTGAAAGATTCTCGGCAGGAAGTAATCTTTCAGAGTTTTCTTCTTTTTCTCGCGTGAAAGCATACATTGCTCTTCAATTTGGTCTGACAGATTCCTTTCTGTCTGGAGTAGTAATAGGTGTTGATGGATTTTCTCAGCTTGCTTTATCAAATCGCTGTTTTGCTGAATCAGAGCTTTTGTCTTGTCTTTTGACATCTTGTACTTTTCTTTCAATATACTCATCTTCTTCAATTTCATGGTCAAGACAGCAAGGTCTTCTTGAAGATCTCTCATGTTTTCCCCCAGATCCTTAATTTCTTCCTCTTGTATCTTGCATTTTTCCTCCAACATATGGAGAGAGTCCAGTTTCATTTTCAGAGCATGAGCCTTCTTTTTCAATTTCTGGTTTACCGCACGATCGATTTTTATCTGTTTTTCCAGGAACTTACAATCTTCTTCAAGATCTTCAGTGTCTTCTATTTTCATGGCAATTTTTTCTATTTCCTTAGCCAAAACTTCATTCTCTTCCCGGAGAGTGCTGGCTGTGTGGAGATGTCGGCATACTTTGTCAATAAGTTTCCCAACACTTCTAGTAAATCTTTTCCTGAGATTTAAGTGTCTTGACATAAATCTCGAAATCTTTTCAAACATTTTCCGCTGAGTTTGATGAACAACTTCTTTCGGTTAAAAGGTTTGCAGCAATTTCTGTAAGCAGAGACGATGCGTTCTCCTTCAGAATCAAGCTAAGTGAACCTTACAATGAAATTAATAGGATACCACCTCTGTGACCTCAGAGGAGTTGTGACATCATTGTTGACATCATTCTTTAATCCTGTAGCCATGCCAACACGATGACCTGACAACATTCTGACACGCCGGGGCCACCACAAAACTTTCAGTGATGTGTGATAAACTGCTGATAAAATAAAACACCTTTTGTCTTAATATAATTTCAGTAACTATTATTTTTTTGCCCTGTAATAAGATTAGCCATTCAAAATTAAGGGCAAGTACATATTAAATAGCAGAGAATGAAATAGGTTGTTCTCAAAATAGATATTTATGAAGATTATTAACAATTAGAGGTTAATTGCACCAAATAACATGAACACCATATGCCTGTTTTTAATGTGTTCCTTCTTGAATTCCAGAATTTTTATAAAAATAAAAAAGATTAGGGAAATGAATTCTGTTAACCACCAGAAAAAAATTTACGCATTTTAAACTAAGGTATTAAACTAAGATAAAGAATATAACTTAAAATTTTATTATTTTTGGTTGTTGTAACACTTAAAACAGTAAAAATTGGTTTGTTTTGTTTTAAAATACATATAAATGATTTTTTTAAACAATTATTTTTTAAATAATTATCAATTTTATCATTAGATATTAGTTGTAATAATCATATGAGATTTTTATTAAATATTAGAGAATGAATTTACTGAACTAAAAAAAATCTAAAGTGGTCATAGGACATAAAAGCAACAAGACTGTAGACAAGTGAAGTGTAGCTTTTGGTGAGATTGCATGATTCTCTCCTTCTCTTACCTTAGCGCAGATAAGACACTATGAACACATATTTTTGCTCTGACCTTCTTGTGCTCTTGTTTTTGTGGTTGGGTTATAACACGTAATTTCCCGTCTCAATCTATACTTGATTGAGACGGGATGTCGTTTTGAAAACAGGAAAAGGAAGAAATACCCTAAAAAGTAAATTCTTCATGCAACCAATAATAGAACAAATTGTCCTTTCGGAGCAAACAAACAACAAACTGGCAACATCTATAACTGTAATTGATAAAATATGTTCTGACTGGACAGGTCACATGTATGGCTCAAGTGCAGTGCCATTTTACAAAGAATGCTATCATGCAGTGTCAGAATGAGATTCACTGAGCGTGAACAGATGTGAAGTTCTCACTCCTTGTTCTTTTCAGAGCTTCAGCACAGAAATGGAGACATCACAGACTGAGTACATGCAGGTAATCTAGAACAATAAGCTAAAGGGGATCCCTGGGGTTTGCAGGTGTTAGGGACCAGAATAGTCAACAATTATATGAAATTTCTAAATACTTGACACCCCCTATAAAATATTTATAGCCATATAAGGGTATATTAAAGGGTTATTTCGTTGCGATTGGTTCATCAGAAGAAACACGTCAGTGATATAAATCAGAAGATTAGGTAAGTGTCATTATTTATTCCTGTTTCAGTTCAGCAGCTTCAGGAAGTCAGAGTATGACCTTACCAGCAAGACTCAGCATGGAGCCGAACAACTCCACTGTGATCACCTACAACTTGTCATCTTCAGGACTTCCGCCTTATCCCTCCTGGCTGACCAAAGGTGTTGTCCCTGTGGTGGTGATGTCCTTCTGCTGCATTGTGGGAGTTTCAGGAAACATCGCAGTGATTCTTCTCAGGCCGAATTGGCACCATCTTTCCAGTCTGAGCCAGAGTCTAATGCTGAATCTGGCCATTTCTGACCTGATGTGCCTGCTGACCCTTTCGCTATGGATTTACCCGCTGCTGTATGGCTGGAGCTTTGGCCTGGTGGCCTGTAAGATCCTATCCTACCTTGTGTACTGCAACATTTATGGCAGCAAACTCACTGTGATTGTGTTAAGCGTCCAGCGCTACCTAACAGTGGTGCATCAGAGAAGATTTCCACAGGTGAAGAAGAGAGCAATGCTGTCTCTACTCTGGATGGCCGCGGTCATCCTGTCCATCCCTGCTCTGGTGGTTCGACAGCTGTCAACACATCAGCAGCGGATAGTTTGTGAACCTCGGTATTCTTCAACTACTCAGGGTGTGGTTGTACAGTTGGCAGAGACTTTGTTTGATTTTTGCTCTTTTGCTCTCGTCGTTTTTTCATACGTTCGACTTCACAGGACGTTGAACCAGGCAGCCTTTTTCAACAATCCACAGACGACTCGGCTGATAACAAGTATCATTGTGAGCTTTTTTGTTCTCTGGACTCCATTTCATATCATAAATCTCCTGGATGTGGCTGCTATGTGTTTAAAGAATGAAAGACTTTTGAAATTTTGCAAGGACATCTGGTTCGTTGTTAAGACACTTACTTTTGTAAACTGCTGCCTGAATCCTCTTCTGTATGTCTTCACATCTAAAAAAATGTGTGTAGTTTTCCAAAAACGGGAAGAGGTGCAAAGCTAGAGCAAACCACTAAGTCACCAGACATAATAGGCACTTTAAAAGGTATAGCTGCAAAACATTGAGACATTTAGAAACATTGTCATCATGTGCCATCATCAGGTATTGCTGCAAAGTCAAAGAAAACATCGTAAGTGATTCTCTATTTTATTTTCTTGCTCCATCAAGAGGAGTGAAAACTGCAAGACAATAACTTGATGCAATGAACTTTACATGACGGTAATATCTGATGTCTCGGATCCACATGGGATGTATAAATGACTGGACATAATTGACTTTATTTGTAAGCAAAAACAATCTGGTTTATAGATGAAGACGGACTGTACTGCTCTGTAGCTCTAAATGGTATAAAAACTGATCTAACAAACTAATCACCTGTTTTTGTGTAGAATACTGAGGTGTTTCCAGCAAGTGTTTTGCATTTTGCATTGTGTTCTTGTTAATAAGTTATTTTCTGTGTAGGCTTTTTGTTCTAAGGAGATTAAATATACAATCAAAATATCTTGTGAAAATGCTGTCATATTCCATTAAAAATGATATAGTTTCCAATGAGGCTGCGTCCTGAGATCAAAAGTACTTTTTTCAAAACATAACAACTTTAAAAGTATGTACATCATATAAATAAAGTTTTTTTTGTTTTGTTAATAATATGATGTAATATTCTAATCTTAAATGTTAGATGTAAGCCAAAAAATACATTGATAAAGATAAACACTTGAAAACATCCGTCTGTCTAATTAATATATTCAATGTGGTTCCCTTTGTGAAACTACTTACTGCAAAAAATAACTTCCCATGCATCGTGGAGCCTTTACATCATAATCCAGCTAGTTTGGTCCTTATAGGTAAAAGAAAATCAATTGTGTATGTAGCCTGTGGATTTTCTCTGCAGGGTTTAGTTTCTCGGAGGATATTTTGTATGCAGTACTGATGATGGTGTGTTCATGTGGATTCACTGAACAAAATCTAGAAGTAAAAATATGGTAGATTGGTGAAATCTTTTTTTATTCAGACTTTAATTCTGATCTTTGTTCTACGCTTTGTTCGTTTTATGTGAGGTTGTACGATTCACTCTTATCTTCTTTACCTTAGAGGAGATGAGATATTATAAACACTAAGTTTAGCTCTGACTTCACCATGAGTACTTGAGTCTAAGTTTATGACATGTTGAGTTCATAATTGTCTTAGGCAGGAAATGGTTTTCGAAAACAGGAAAAGGAAAATAAAACTCGAACAGGTCAGACCTTTAAACTTTTGACAAAAGAGCAAATTGTCCTTTAAGGGCAAACAAACAAACAACATACAAGTACTTAAGGAATGCTGATATTTGCTTTAATTCAGAGTTCAATAACATCAACAACAATTTTACATGTGAAAATTATTCGAGATGGACAGGAGAAAGAACAGGAGAGTCCTTTTTCAAAGACCAAAGGACAATGCAATCATAATGTGAAAATGAGAACAGATTCGCTGAGTTTGAACAGATGTGAAATGTGAGAGATTCCCCAGAGATTCACACCTGCAAGTAATCCAGAACTAAACTACAGTGGATCGCCGGTATTTGAAGGTTTATAGGAACAACCACCCACAAATACCAGAAATCTAGGAATATTTGAGACCCCCCTAAAAACGCTTATAATTCCCTATTTTAATAGTTCAAATACTAAATAGACCTTAAAATGCATGAATATGCAAAGTGGTATCACAACACAAGGTAACATCCACAATCTTCTTCATCTTTCTGCTTGAGATTGAAAAAACATTTTAGATATAAAATTTGTGAATAGTTTACATTTTCGGTGAATAGAAAATGATACGAATAGGTAAATCAATAAATACTGAACTGCAAATAGGCGGGGGTCCCTTTATTGAAAATATATACAACACTAGAAGAAAACTATTTTAATGTCTGTTATTGAATACAAACATTTTGAAGACATAGACATGCTTTGTAAGGCTAAATGTATAAAAATTCATATTGCTTCCTTCTGGCATTGAGACTGAAGAAACACAAGTGTAGCAACTGCAGCAAAAAATCTGAAAATACAATGAGTAAACAGTGCACTTTAAAAAAATACTGTGTCAACGACTGATAGGAGGATGGTCATTGTTGTCCTTTGATACACAAGATCACAGTTATTCTCTGTTTAACACTGCACAAATTTTTCAATTGCTCTATACTTTGTTGATACGTTATCCCTGACCTTTGCTTTCCTCAAACAGTGAAAGCATCTTTATCTCATGTCGATCTCTGAGCTCAAACCTCATTACAGAAACCTGAATCTCCATAAATCCAGTGGCATATCTGAGCATATTTGTGAGGCGTGATCCTTACTGCAACATTGAACTCCCCCGGCCCGTCCTGATCCTCTTCCACCCACTGATGGCCTGAAAACACTCCGATCACCCTCCTCTGCCAGATCCATCTCCCGCCTTTACGTCTGGGTTTCTTCCTCAAACGGATGTAAACACCTGCGCCAGCTGCGCCTTGTTGAGCATCGCAGTGCTGATACATCAAATCATCTGACTCTTTTATCACTGAGCAGAAGCGATAAACGACCTTCTCTTCTCCACTTCCCTCCAGCAGGCTTTTGTCGGCATCGTACCCTGAGAAGTGGATTCGTGCCAGAGGTAGTAAAGGTGGCGCCACCCCAAGCTCCATGTGCTTTTGCTTGACAGGCCGCTTCAGCTCCAAGAGGGCGTAATCATAGTCAAGAGACTCAGAGTTGGCGGAGGCATTGGTGTGGATCCATCCTTGAGGGATTTGGGTTTGTTTAACTTGAGTCCAGCGAAACACAGCTTGCTTTCCTGGTGCTACTTGACGCCGGTTGCGACTGAAACGCTGACCCTTTCTACCTTTTCTCTCAAATTCCTTTTCCCCAGCAGTAGCTTTTCCCTCACCGCCTCTTTTCCTTAACCTTCGACTTCTCCTTTCACCTCCCCTTCTCTTTCTCAATCCTCTAGCACTGTTTTTATTTTCACTCTCTGCCTCTCCTCTCCTCAAGTCTACCTTATCTTGTATCCTACCACCCCTTCGTCTCCTTCCCCTCTTTCTTCTCAGACTTCCATCATGCTTGAGCTGTAACAGCCCAACTTTAAGGCTCCCAGCGTTCTCCAGGTAGTCTCTGCCATTATGGATACAATGAGCTGCTGTTAACACATGTTTTGGAGACACGAGGACTCCAGAACAGCCAGTGGAAAGGCGGACCGCTGTGGAGAATGGGTAGTTAGTGATAAAGCTTGAATCTGAGATGACAAAGCGTCCATCTGCTCCAAAAACTTGCCGTTTCCTGCGGATATGAACCTGCTTTACACTGTCTCCTCCCAGAGTCTTGTTCATCCACTCCAGGCCCACATCTGTATGTGTTTGCGTGCCATTTTCATACAGGGTCTGGTATCCCAGAATCCTTTCCTGCTTAGTTTGCCTGAATGATGGTGGACTGCTCTGACACTCGGTTCCACAGAGCGTGTTGGCTGTTGATTTGACTTTGTCCTCCATCTGTCCACTAAGCAAACTTGCGTTCATAATGGATTTGTGTGTAACCAGCAGCCTTGGCAGCCTCTGCCGGGTCCACATGTGTGAACTGCTCTCTTTGCTGCTGCCAAAAACTTCAGAAACTGTGAAGGCGGCTGCAAAGAGCAGCATACACATGATGACTTCAAGGCTCATCCCACTGCAAAAAAAAAAAAAAAAAAAATCAAAAAACAGACATAAAGACTCATTATTCCCAACTATCTGGAGAGCAACATAAGCTTCTTAAATGTACAACAACATATTTGACGAAATAGTGATAAATAGCGAGATTCTTACTAATATATTATCTAATTGTGGCGCAAGTGTAGAAAACCCAAACTTGTTGGAGTGGGCAAAATGTTTGACAAAAATTCTAATTGACCAGCAGATGGCGCCAAATTGCCGTTAATGATCTGGACTGTGCATCAAGAGCAAAGTTTATAATAATCACGTTCAATACAGTTTTGCAGTATTTAATGCACAACAGCAATTTAGGTTTTACTTTTTAGTTTGCTGAACAAATTATCGTTTTGGGGTCAGGGGGCTAAGAGGGGAGATTGCAGGGTTTCCACATTCAAACTGTAGAAAATATATTTTTAAAATTAACATCCACATAAACAATAACAAAAGAGAAACTACAAAGCTTATAATTTGATACTAGAAATTAAATTAAGAGCTTTAGAGTTTTCGCCCTCTCAATACTTAGAAAATGCCGCCCAATAGAAAAAAACTGCGATAAATACAAAGTTCAGTGTTCCTACCTGCAAACAGCCGAAAATCCCATCCGGTCAATGCTCTGCTTTGTAATATTGAAGCTTTAAATTTGTATTTAGGCGACTACAAGCTGACCAGCGCAATCAGTTCCTGAGCTGGAAATTGAAACGGCAACATGAATTAGTGAGGATGTGGCAAGGATTCTCTCTGGGATCTGTATCCTACTCCCATGTTGAGAAATGTTTTGCTCAGAAGGAGTGTCAGCCCAGGAGGATGAATGAAATCAAGGATCATGTGACGGAAAGAGGAGCAAAGGAGTCAGAGGTGGGCAGTTTTAGGGTTTGCAATAGCTCCCCAACAAAAACACCCCCCATGTCACATCCGAGAAAACAAAGATTATTGTTTTAATGTGATGAAATATTCTGTAAAATCTAATTGTGATTTAATTGAATCTAAATGCAAAACCCCTAACAAATAGTCCGCTATAAAGGGTCAGAAATAAATATCAACAAAGTAAAGGCAATGGGGAAAGGTGGTGAGCTCATGACTTTATTGCACATCCTGTAAACAAACGAATCATTTGGTGTTTACACAAGTGGAAAGGTCCGTTCTGCAAAAATATCCATCATGTTGGTTAAAGACTCAACAGAGACAAAAGTCAACAAAGCATTTTGCTTATGTTGCATCGTTGTGATCACCTAGGATATTCCATCAGGTTGGCAGCATGCAACACAAAAGAGAGCATGATGCAACATCACAACTCTGTACTTTACATTTTAATAAGAGGATGTGTCTTTGACATTTCCGGTATTTTGGTTTCTCTTGTCACATTCAGTGGCTGATGTCTGGGAAATCTTACAAGTAGAGAACAGAAGAACTTCACTAGAACTACGATTCATGTAAGATCTTTTTTTTTTACTGCCGCTCTGAATTGCGCCATTGCACACTGACTGCTATGGGTTGCATCCGAAAGATGCAAAGATTGGGCCCTGAGGTTTCCACATAAGAAACATTGTTTCTTATGACTGAAATGTTCTTCTCTATGACTGTGTTTAAACAACATGATAGGTATCTCCGTTCCCCTTTTATCACAAAACAAGTTTCTGACAAACTCAAATAAGGTGTGGTGAGCTGGTTTTCTGTACAGCATTGTGGGTGTTCTTGGAAACCACATATGTGTTAAAACCTCAAGGCAAAAAGAAGTGCTCACACCAGAACCTTGACTTTAAGGCAATACTACTTCAATGTGTTAATTTTCATAATAAATCATTACAGAAGTGAACTTTGATTATCTTCCTTCAACTTAAGCAAGTTAATGAAAAGAAATGCATCTTTTTTTTTTTTTACATTTTTTACTTCCCTTTCAAATTTGCATGTCAAAGTGTACAAATGCAGACACGTCAATATTTTAGTTTTAACTTCTTTTTTTTGCTTTAACTGCAAAATATTTAGACAGTCTGAGTTATCTTTTCAATGTGTTACAGAGGCAAAAGTAAACACCACATCAACTGATGCAAATTTACACCTACTGCAAGCAGAGTGATGCAGACAAGCATAAGCGTCCGCAAGTTTTTTTTTTTTTTAAGCTCCTCTTTGTCAGCCCACTTCCTTTTCTGCTTTTTACTCCATTTACCAGCATCAGGTACTCAAAGCACAACTTCCACAACCAGACCCAGGATGGATGGGCTTAATTTCACTGCTGCTCCCTCCAACTTCTCCTCATTGGAACATCTTCCTTCTCCCTTAGGGAGCTCCAGAGGTCTCATTCCCACGGTGGTGTTGTCCATCTGTTTGATGCTGGGCGTTCCTGGAAACATTGCTGTGATTCTTCTCAAGCCTAACTGGAAGAAGATGTCCAGCATGAGCCGGAGCTTGATGCTGAATTTGGCCATTTCTGACCTCATCTGCTTGTTGACCCTTCCACCTTGGATTTACAATTTACTCCACAGTTGGATATTCGGTGTGGTGAGCTGTAAGCTTCTGTCTGGCCTTGTTTACTGCAGTGTTTATGGCAGCCAGTTCACTGTGACTGCAGTTAGCGTCCAGCGCTACCTTGTGGTGGTCCACCGTGTTGACTGCAAACGGGTGCGAAAAAGAGTGCTGCTGGGTCTGCTCTGGCTGCTTGCTCTCCTCAATTCCATCGCTACTTTTGTGGTACGACAGGTAAAGACAGATCAGAAACTGAAACGGTGCCAACCAATTTATTCTTCCGATAGCCAGAGGGCAGCTCTTCTGCTGACAGAGGCCATGGTGGGGTTTGCTTCCTTGTCTTTGGTAGCATTTTCATACTTTAGTCTCCACAGGAAAGTCAGTCAAGGAGCCTTTTTCAACAATCGACAAATAACCCGACTGGTTACCTGCATCATCGTCTGCTTTGTTGTGCTGTGGGTTCCGTATCATGTCATAAATCTCCTGGGTGTGGCAGCTATTTGTCTCCAGAACGACATCCTGTTGAAATTTTGTAGAAATGCATGGAACGTTACTGGAGCGCTGTCATTTGTAAATAGTTGCGTCAATCCACTCCTCTATGCCTTTACCTCAGAAAAAATGTGCTCTGTTTTCCAAAAAAAGGATCCAGAGCAGCAGAATTCCAGAAATCTCTGAACAACAGATATGAGTACAACAGAAGAGGTATTTTTGTTTCTCTGTCGGTTTAAAGCATAATTGTGATAATTGTGATAAAATAAGCTGAACATGATCAAGAACTAAATATAAGAAAGTGTAGTCTCTGAAAGGTTTCATGTTGATGCGTTTGTATTGGTTGTAATAAATGTATTTTCTATTTTCTCAGGCAAAAGGATGAGCTGATGAGGAATACTTTTGTGCTGGACTTGGTCATCCAGAGCTTGCATCCGTCTGCAGTTTCAGAAGATTTTCACTGAGTCATATCTCTCTCTCTCTCGTTGTTGTTCTTATTCTAACATATTTATTCAGAGTATTTTGTTGATATTTTTGTGCTTTTTCTGCTCTTAAATATATCTTGATTTGAAGAACAGATATGTGTACTAAAGTCACGTGAATCTAAAAAAAGATGATTACATGTAATTAGAAAGCTTTGTTAACAGTAGGGTTGAATTTTTTTTTTTTTTGCATTATGCGAACTGTGTACATAACTCTCTATTGTTGACTCTTGTTTTTTACTCAGTTTCTATTAAATGTTCTCAGGAAACAATTAGTTTTCCTTATTTTCTATAAAGATACCAAAAAAGTGTGTCTTAGTTAGCCAATTTAAATCATTCATTCCAAGGCATAATTAAGAAATTAAAATAAAACTATAAGTGGTTTCAGTAAAAGAAGAGAACAGAGCTGCAGTACCGACAGCTGCAATTAAAAACTCTCTGTCAGTTTTTCAATTCAACATGCACCAAATAGTTTTGGCTGTTCATTTCTCTGGTTTTTATTTAGCAGTAATAGAATAGAGAGAACTTATGTTAACTAACAGAGCTATAAGTATCTTATTAAAATTTGTTATTTTATGAAACTCGTCGTGTTGTGATGAGAAACTTTTTCATTAAAATGTGATAATGCTTCTCTAGTGTCTGAACACACGTACTTTTTTTATTTTTACATTTTTCAGATCTTTATTTGTAGAAGAATTTTAAATCTGTGTGCCATTGTGCCTCCAGCTGACCATTAGGTTCTTTTTTTTTTTGGTTTACAAATTGAAATGTCATTAAAATAAATAAAAGTTTGTGGCAGTAACTTCACCAAATATAAAAAATACAATTTAAGAAGCCTTAGGAATCACGTTTAATGAGCCTGTTGTATGTAAACTCCTAAAACTCACCTAAAATACTGACTTATTGTCAATTTACCGATTGACAATAAGTTTAAATAAGGCAAATACCATCATAAGTAATTGGTTTGAGACCAACATTAGTCTTTTGAGAGTTCTGTTTTCATCTTTTTCTAGTTTTAAAGGAAGGTGATGTCAGAGTTCACAATAACTACCATCTGTTCCAGATCCAAATCAAAGAACTTTCTGGTTAATGAATCCAATGATTAATCTTTACCAGTCTGCTTGACTCACCATGCATCGCAGTCTCAATTAGACTGTCTGCTGATGTTCTGCAGACTTTATTAATTTTCCATGCCACATTTAATTAGTGAGACAGATTATTTTAATTCTCTAATCAACACCATCTCTCCAGGCGTGTAAAAACCTCTCTAAGAGAAGATACAATGCTCATGGAAGTTGCTAAATTCAGATTGTGTTAAATTGCACACTTTTAAGATTTAGTGCTGCAGTGCTGTTGTATGGTGGATGCAACGTTGACTCAAATCAAAACTAAATACATGGCCATTTTGTTCCATTTGCTTCTTTCGATGTGGCCAAAAGCAGCTTCATATGAAGCTGAAACAGTTCCTGCTATGCTGGCACTAAAAGCAGAACATTACTTGTTGCATTGTTCCAATAAGATATGTCTTAAATAATGATCATCTTTAAGATGATAAAGATCTTGCAGTATAAATTATTAGGAGAGCTCGCTCAGACAAATTGAAGGCCTCCAAGACCTGAGCTGAGGTTTTATTTAGTCTCAGCCATGTTTTCATGTCTCTTTAGTCCTATGTTCTCCTTTATCTCTTTCAATTGTTTCTTTGTAAAATTCTAGATTCTTTCTACACTAAATAATAATAAAATAAAACACATAGACTTCTATCCTGACAAAAAACTGGATGCAGCTGGGAACTTTCACACGGAAGCTGTAGTTTGCCGAGGCTCAATGCACAGCTATTTGTCTTGGAGCTTTTCCAGTTCCCATCCAATCTAGATAATCAGGATTAGATTGGCCCAGCTTGCAGGACAACCAAATCTAGGTTGGAATATTTTTAGTTTGAATCTCAGCTCTCCAGTAACAAATGAATGAAACTCAATAAAACAAAATGCTGAGGTTACAAATATGCTAAAAGCTTATTCGATGAGAAACCTGTAGGGCATGAGTAGAGTGTCCTGTTGTCTTGAATTATTTTTCATGAGAATGCATGCTGCTGGGTGGCTTCAGACTGACAGAGCTATCCGTAAACAAAATGCTTGCATGCTGGAGTTTTGTTATGAAATCTTGAAAACAGCGCGTTGTCATGGCTTGTAAATAGTCCAGGAGGAGTTGATGGAAAAAGTGTGCGATCTTTGTTTCTTTCAGGATATAAGAGCCGGGCGCCGACACAGTTGCAATGTAAGCATTTCACATGAGACTGTTGCTGAAAATTTAAGCAATGCTTTTCATGAATTGTATATTTTATCCTGACAATAATAAGCCTGTCCTTCAACAAAAAAATGTATGACATTAGTTTTTTGGGGTTGTACTATGAAACCTTCCTGCCTAAATTGAAGTCTTTATGTTAACAAATCTCATTTTTTCTTCTCTGCTACTAAATGCAACCTTTATAATTGTTTAACCTCAAAGAAGATATTTAATATCTATGATGGTTGGGGAAGAGATGACAGAAAGGCAACAATAATTGAAATAATTGGTTTACCAGTGTTTTAGGAGAAAAAGTCTTCCATGAATCCTCAAGAAAATCTTGCTGTAGAGAAAGAAAATGGTTAATAATTACAGCTGAACATATTTTGGTGTTGTAATCCAGTCTTAACAATCTTGTGCAAAAATCTTCTTTGAAAAAAAGATTTATCTAAATGTAGAAAACACTTGTATTAGTAAATATGGTTTGTGTTTCTGCTGAAAAGAAGCTGTGCGCCTGCAAAAATAACTGATATTTGCACTAAGTTTTGTGATGCATTTGATCCCCCGACTTATTCAAATTGCAGAAGCGCATGCAATGCAGTACTAAAGCATCATTTTGCAGCTCTTTATCTATTTACTGGTGGCTCATTTCCTTTACGGTCATGTAGTACAACCTGACTTTCAGTCAACACTTGCACTATAGTATCAAGTGGTGACTCAGGTGGTGACTAAGAGTCACCACTTGATATGATCCTGCATATGCACTTTATAAAAATCATCCTGGCTTATGAAACACACGCTTTGAAAGGGACACATCACTACTTCCTAGTGAAATGAGAAGTGTAGTGCATAATGTGACAAAATGTTGAAAGGTTCAAGAGTCTTACTTTTAAAACTGAATAGCAAATATAAACCTTTCTCAAGAACTTCCCAACCAATCGTATGTAAATACAGAAGTTGAAAACAATTTTATCCTAAATTTGTGCCTATAACCTCTGGATTTTCATGTTGCTATTCTTCAAACTGCTTTCTGAATACCTGTGCAATGCGAGGCCATATTCAGCTTTGAAAACCTGAGAGAAGCCATATATTTCTGCAAGAGGCAGCAACATTTCTATAAACAAGCTGACGTGTCTGTTTACTGCCTCATGTTATTTCTCTAATGGAAGGAGGAGCATCTTTTTCCTCTCCTATCCCAAATTAAAACAGATGTGTCTGGCGTTGGATATTTGTGTGACTTCAACAGCCGTGCATGTTTTTTTTATTTTTATTCTGTGACGGCGCTTCTTTTCTTGTTGTTTTGCTCTCATGTCAGTTCAAAACTGAGAGGATGCATTTTTGTAGCATAAGGATAAGACTGATTTTATTGCATTCATAAAAATGTAGGATACATTATTTGTCTGTGGCAGTCAAAGCATATGGTTAAGGGATGTAGTCACTTCAGTTTTACTAAAGGCCTAGATTGCAGACGTGGGTGATTGTGCTGTACCACAATCTAGCACCACTGCTAGATGTAAGGATGTTCTCTGACTCTGTGATGGTAACGGACATTTGTTTGCTCTGTTGTAGAGTTTATTCTCATCACTTGGCTTTTGCACATTTGAAATATGAGAACCATATGTTTATCTGCTGGACAGATTCGAGGGCCTGCAGTCCGCTGATGAACTTTTAGAGAGAAAAGGATGACAGCTGGTATTTTTCCATCAGTTATCAGGTTTGCCTGCTTTCAGTTTTCATGTCTGTTCGTGAAAAGATGCAAAATTAATTGTATAGTGCTTTTTGACATAATGTATATTCAGAAACTGAGTAAGTATTCAGTATTGTTGAAAAGACCTTTAATGTTTCAGATCATCATCACACTAATGTAATCTGCACAAATACTGAATGTTTTTGGAATTAAATGATTCAAATAATACAAACATTTTCCAATAAAGATTTCATTTAAAGCAGGAGACAAAAGCTACTCAAACTGGCCTGATTGAAAACATGATTGTCTCACTTTTTAAATTACAAAATAACTTATTAACCACCAAAAATACCTGATTTTGTTGGCTAACCCCTACATTTATAAATCCACCTAAACAGAACCTGTCTTGCAAGACGGCTTAGGCTAAAAGATCTCAAAAAGTGAAAAGGAGAAAAGATGGACTCCTTCCAGGAATGGCTGGCCTCCCAAAATTACTCAAACAGCACATCCGTGTCTCACCCAGCAAAAGAACATCTGGAGCACCGCCGGCTCTCACTTTCATCAGCTAATGCTCAGAGTTCACACAGCACAAGCAGTTATTGGACAAACACTTTGTTACTTTTTCACATCGGGACAAGTCAGGTTGGATACCTTTTCTTCAATAATCATTTAAAAATGCCTCTCTTTGTCCAAATTTACATGTTTTTTGATAATGTAAAACATCCAAGTGTGACAAAAACAAAAAAGAAGAAATAAACTTGTAAACAGTATCAAGGCACTGCATGCTCTCTGTCAATAAAACACAAGATAACATGATGTGAACAAGCCAAGCCAGACTTAGAAACCCTAGTAAAAAATTAATCATAGTGATACTAAAAGGACCAGGAGGATCTGATACTGACCTACTTACAGCCAACATTAGTGGCTCCATGAATCTACACTCTGAGCTGAATCAGTCTTGTCACCATTTCATTGAAGAGTGTTCTGTAAAAAAAAAAAAAAAAAAAAAACTGAAGACATCGGCAGACTGTATGGAGATTCAAGGCTTCATTGAGGAATACATAATCATACATGAATAAATCATCCGCCTCTCAGCTGTATGATTCTCTACTCTTTTGTTGTCATCATTCTGACCGTCTGATTGCGTCTGAATGATGAACAGCTGAATGGAAAGATAATGTTAGATAATGTTAGCTTGGGAGAGATAATGTTAGGTATCACTTGGTTTAGTTTAGCCGTTCCTCTTCCTCATACACAGCCAGGTCGCATCGTGGAGCCATCACAGGTTTCACAGCTGGATTTGTTCAGGTCTCCTCTATTGTCGTCTGTGACTTGATTTTACCTGTAAGCTGTTTCATTTATTCATTCGTTCATTCATTCGTTTTGTCCCATTCATTGTGGTGGAGCAAACTGAAAGAGTTCAACCTTTCAACCCAGAGGAAACAAACTAAATTATAATTATTATTTCCATTTCTTGCATGATCAAATCCACCGACTTAGTACAAAAAAAGGAGACAGTAATAATAAATCCATAAGAATAACAATGACATATAATGGTATTGATTTTAATCTATT